TTTAAGCAAATTTAGGGAGACCCGATATCAAAAACAAAATAAAAACAAAAGACTGGGGGACATGGCTCAAGTGATGGAGTGCTTACCTAGGAAGCATGAGGCCCTGGGTTCAATCTCTAACACTGGGAAAAGAAAAAAATCAAGCAGACAATCCTAATCTTGAGCAAGATGTTGGGGTCCCAGGACAATTTTTGGATCCTAATCATGATGCACCCCAGCTTTTAGCAGAGGATCTGTGAATGGTTCCCACTTAGGGTCCTGGAAATGGGAGTGCTGAGTTCGCATCTCAGCTTAAATGTCCATTGACTGCTAATGTTGGCTCTTAGCCTCTCTATGCCTCAGTTTCTTCATCAGCAAAATGAGGGTGCTAGTGACATTCTCTATCTGATGTGATGGTTGTAAACGTTAAAGAAGTTGGCACCCATGACTAAAGTAACCAAAGAAAAATAGATAAATTGGATTTCACCAAACTTTTTTCAGGCCTGGGGACGTTAGTTCAGTAGCAGAGTACTTGCCAAGCATACATGAGGTTCTGAGTTTTATCCCTAGCATCACAAGAGAATTAAAAATTTTGTACATTAATGGAAATTATCAACACAGTAAAAAGATGGTGTAGGCATGATAGTGAACACTTGGAATCCCAGCACTTAGAAGGCTGAGGCAGGAGGATCATGAGTGTGAAGCCAGCATGGGCTACATATCGAGACCCTGTCTCAAAAAAAAAAAATTAAAAAGAAAACCTACAGAATGGGAGAAGATATTTGCTAATCATATATCTGATAAGGGTTTAATGCCCACAATATATAAAGAACTCCTACAACTCAACAACAAAAAGGCAAACCAACTGCCAGTGTGTGATGGTGCACACCTATAATCCTAGCACTGAGTAGGCTGAAGAAGGAAGATTGCAAGTTCAAGGTCAGTCCAGGGTATATAATGACACCCTGTCTCAAAAAACAAAACAAAATAGGACAACCCAATTTTAAAATGGGTAAAGGATTTGAATAGACATTTCTCCAAAAACAAACAAACAAACAAACCCACAAATGTCCAATAAATGCATGAAAAGATGCTGTCAACATTAGTCATTAAAGAAATGGAAATCAAGAGTACACTGAAATATCACTGCACACCCATTAGGATAGTTATAATGCTTTTTTTAAAGGGAAAATAAGAGGTGGGGATGTAGCTCAGTGGTAGAACATTTGGTTAGTGTGAGTGAGGCTCTGGGTTCAATCCCCAGCCCTGCCCAAAAAAAAAAAAAAGTTGTGAGGAAGTGAAGTTGGAGCCTGCATGTTTCTGGTGGGAATGTAAAATGGTGCAGCTGCTGTGGAAAGCACTCCTTAGTTCCTCAAAAAGTTAAACCTAGACTTGCCCAATGAGCCAGCAACACCACTCCTAGGTATAATATACATGAGAATGAAAAACATGTGGTCACACTGAAACTTGTACACAAATGTTCATAGTAGTCTTGTCCAAAGTAGCTACAAAGTAGAAACAACCCATATCCATCAACTTATAAATAAATAAAATGCCAAATATTCATACAATGGAATAGTATTCAGCTATAAAAAGAGACGAAATCCATACTACATGGATTAACCTTGAAAACATTATGCTAAGTGAGAGAAACTAGATACAAAAGGCCACATATTTTATGATTTCATACATGTGAAATGTCCAGAATAGGCAGATCCACAGAGACAGAAAGCAGATTAGTGGTTTTCAGGGACTAGGGTGGAAGAGGGAATAGGGAATGACTAATGGGTATAGGGTTTCTTTGGGGTGATGGAAATGTTCTGGAATTGGGCAGTGGTGATGATTGCACAACCCTGTGAATGTGCTAAAACCACTATCACATTGTACCCTTCAAAATGGTGAAACTGCTTACATAAAATTTTACGGTATGAGAATTATCTCAAATTTTTTTTTCTAAAAAGTCTGTATACATAAAGTGCTCAGAGGGCGCTCAGTCCACAGTAAACCCTCAGTAAAGTTCGTCACCATTTAGTTTGAACTCCACCAGATTTATGGATTGGTCTAGGAAGGCAGAAAGGAAACTTAATCCTAAAAGGAATATGGTCTTTAAAGGTTAAACTCACATGAGGCATTTATTTGCATGTTTGCTGCTTCTTTCACTTATTTTCATACTGTCTTGATTTTTACATATCATATATATGCACACATTTAAAATGCATATGCGTTTATTTGTGTTGTTTTAAAATTTTATTTTCATTATCACTTTCAATATTTTTGAAGTGTGAAATGGGCTTTTTTTTCCCCCATGGTACTGGGGTTGAACTCAGGACCTCACACTTGCTAGGCAGGCTCTCTACCACTTGAGCCACTCCATCAGTCCTTTTTTGCGTTGGGTATTTTCGAGATAGGGTCTTGGCTGGCCTCACACAGAGATCCTCTTGATCTCTGCCTCCCAAATAGGTAGGACGATAGATGTGAGCCATGGATGCCTGGCTGAAATGGGTTTTTAAGGCTCAAATTGCATTTGTTTTTAAACTTGAGCCTGGTGGAGTCCAGGGCTGCCATGTGGCTTGGGAAATCTACTCCAGGTTATAAGCAGGATGCTCACTAACCTTGGGGTTAAAGCGCCTGTGATTGAGGCTTTTCTCTGTCACCTACAAGCCATTTGACCTGGGTGGAACAAGGCTCTCGTTGCCAGATTTATCAAATAAAAATGCCGATACACAGCTACATTTGAATTTCAGATAAACAAAAGAATGCGTTTTTAGTGTGTGGCCAAATGTTGCATGGGATATAGTTATACTAAAAACGTCTTTGTTTTATCAGAAATTAAAATTTAACTGGGCATCCTAGAGCTTATCTGACAACCCAGCCATGACTCTCTTTAATTTCTGTGAAAGGAAAGAGTCTTTGAGGTAAACACATTTTATTCTCATAATTCCCTTTATTTTTCCATGGAAGAGACTCAGAGAAGTTAGGTGACTTGGCCCAAGGTCATTAGCTAGAAAATAATTGAGCTGGGATTTGAACTTGGGCGTGTCAAGTGTACCATGATCTGCTAAAATGGAACTCAAGACAGATAGGCAGTGACCTACTTAATGACAGCACAGGAGCCATGAGCTAAGTTGGGAAGAACAGAAGCTTCCATTGACTGAGAAGGAATAAAAAAAAAAAAAAAGAGTTGGAGAATCAGATTTGAAAAGTATTTCTATGACCTTGTTCCTAGTTCTTTTTCTTTTATCTGGTTTTCGAGATGGGGGTCACATTATATAGCCCATGCTGGCTTGGAATTTGTGATCCTCCTGTCTCAGTCTCCCAAGTGCCCATCATAGATGTGGGCCTGGCTCCTAATATTAGTTCTTATTGCCACCATTACAAGTGACTACAAACATAGTGACTTAACACAACACAAATGTATGATCGAACAGTCAGGAGGTCAGAAGTCTGAAGTGGCTAAATCACAATGTCAGCAGAGTGGAGTCCTCCCAGGGGCTCTCGAAAGAACCTGTTACCTGTGTTTTGCAGTTTCTGAGGGTTGTTGTTTTCTCTGGCCTGTGGCCACCACACTATGACCTTTGCTTACGTCACCACGTCTCCTTCTTTGACTCTGGCCCTTCCTCCTCCCTCTTTTAATGATCTTTGTGATTATAGGGGTCCACTGGATAATCCAGGATAATCTCTGAATCTCAAGATTTTTTTTTTTTTTTTAACTCAAAATCATTCTGGTCAGTTTGTTTCTCTGAATGAAACATGAACTCAGGAAAGCAAGGCTTGATGTAATTTCGAAGTGTTTAAATTTTTCATTTATTTTTTTTTCTTTTATTATTCATATGTGCATACAAAGCTTGGTTCATTTCTCCCCCCTGCCCCCACCCCCTCCCTTACCACCCACTCCACCCCCTCCCACTCCCCCCCCTCAATACCCAGCAGAAACTATTTTGCCCTTATCTCTAATTTTGTTGTAGAGAGAGTATAAGCAATAATAGGAAGGAACAAGGGGTTTTGCTGGTTGAGATAAGGATAGCTATACAGGGCATTGACTCACATTGATTTCCTGTGCGTGGGTGTTACCTTCTAGGTTAATTCGTTTTGATCTAACCTTTTCTCTAGTTCCTGGTCCCCTTTTCCTATTGGCCTCAGTTGCTTTAAGGTATCTGCTTTAGTTTCTCTGCATTAAGGGCAACAAATGCTAGCTAGTTTTTTAATCACATCTGCCAAGTCCTTTTTTGCCTTGTAAGGGAACATATTCACAGCTTCCGGCAATTAGATGTGGACATCTTTTGGTGGGTGGTTCGATTATTCTGCTCACCACACTGTCTAAGAGAGAAATTATCTAGTGGATTTGAGTGTTCTAAGCCTTAACTATAGTCCCTTTCATCTGTACAGATTTTAGAGTACTTCACACACACACACACACACACACACTTTTTTTTCCTTGAGTTTTAATTCAGCAGTCCCCCTCCCCTAGTTCCCAACTATGCACCACTAGAACTGTGCTCACCCTGGTAGAGTGGGATGGCCACAGTCTGGACCCAAAGTGAGCCAGCTCCTTCCCCCCAGATTCTGCCCTCCACAGGCAGCCTCTCATGACCAGGATGAGGAGGGAGGGTTGTGGGCAGAGCCTTCTTTTTGTGGAGAACCTTGGCACAGAGCCCCAGAACTGAGTGTCTGTCCATCTGGGGCGTGTTCTTGAGGACAGCCAAGGCTGGAACCCTGCATGCCTGGAGGGAGCTCTGATTCTTAGAAAAATCTTCTTAGAACAAACCTCCCAGGATGTCTCACCTGCTGCTGTGTGGGAGGAGCCAGCCTCTCCTGCCCCAGAGATACTGGAAGGAGCTGCCATGAACCCCCGTCACTTTCCCAGGCTGCACACTGCCCATCCGCCGTGATGGCCTATAAGTGCCAGACTATTCTAGGAACTGGGTACACTGATCTGACAGCAAGGCCCTGATCCCTGGTGTGTAGGCCTCAGCAAGGGCAGAAGCATGTGTGATAAGACTTCTGAAAATAAGGAAACAGGGATGATAGAGGGTAGCAGCAGCCCTACGGTCAGCCAATGTCCCAACTCTGAAGAGAACGGCCCAGAAAAGAACAAAGGTGAGATGCAAGCTCGCACTTTACTCCAAATTACCCATGCTCCCAACCCCTGCTCTAGGTGGCCACCAAAAAGCTCCCTTAGGTCCCTCTTATGAAGGGAATACAAAGCGGTACCATAGTGGTGATACCTGTAATCCTAGCATCCAGGAAGCTGAGGTAGGAGGATTACAAGTTTGTGGCCAGCCTGGGCTACAGAGCTAGTTCAAGACCTGTCTCTAGAATAAGTAAATAGAAAAAGAAAGGAAGGAGTTTGGACTGGCGGTTGTGGTATCTGGTTTATGAGCCATCCCTGAAATTGGAGTCAGTCCATCTGGGGACAGAGTCCAGCTGTGTCCTGTATTCAGGGCTGGGAGGAATGTAAGCTTCCTGCTGAATGTCAGCTGCTCGAGGCTGCAGTAAGGAAAACAGTAATGTAATGTGTTCCTTAAGGAAGGTAGCAACCAGATGTGAGGGAGCGAGGCCAGCTGTGCAGTCAGTGAGCTGTGTGTAGGGTTGGCTAGATGTGTGGCGGGGGGCGTGGAGATGACAGGGGAGTGGGCCTATCTGCGGACTACGATAGAAGTGGGGAACGGGAGGAGTGAGCTGATGTGAGAGACTGGAGAACAGCCTAGGCTTTGGGAGGTGGCTGTCCCCAGGAGATGGCTGATGCAGTCAGGAGCGGAAACAGGCTTTCTATTCCAGGAGGCTGTTTAGCCTCTGACAACACCTGGCTGGAAGGAAATAAACAGAGACACGAAGTAATAATTTATGTTGTGTCCTCTGTCAACCCAGCTACCTCCTCCTCCCTGGGCTGGAAGAAGTTGCTAAGAGTTGTCACCCAGTAAAAGACTGCTGGAGCTGTGCTGGCTAAATAAACTTGTGTTTGCCTCCTCTAGGCCTCGGTAGCTACCGTGTCTGTACCTGGAGTGCCTGCCACCACAGCTATCTGCTGAACTCTCACTTTAGTGCTGAAGCTCAAGTGACACCTCTTCAAAAGTTCCACTACTCTCTGACCTGAAGCTCTCAAGCTACGTGTACATCACAACTGGAAATCTGCTTCTGAGTGACCCAGCTCTGGGATCTAAGCAACACTGACTTTGTCCTACCCTGACCTCTGGGAGCACAGGACATCCCTGAGATTAAGTGGGAAATCGTGTGCGAAATTAAATGCACAGATGAACAGATAAATAAAATGTGGTATACAGTGGAATATTGTTCAGCCATGAAAAGGAATGAAATACATGCTAAGTGAAAGAAGACCAAATAATTGTATGATACCAGCTATATGACATATCCCAAAATAGGCAAATCAACAAAACCAGAAAGTAGTTCATTAAGTGGAGAAATGGGGGTAACCACCTGATGGACAAAATATTTCCTTTTGGGGTCATGAAAACATTTTGGAATTAGAGAGCAGCGCTGATTCTATAACACCATGAGTGTGCAGGTTAAAGTGCTGGATTTCATGCTATCTGTGCTCTATCACATTAAAGAAAAGAAAAAGCACATTTCTAAGGAGAAGATTCTGAACTTTGATCAGATTCTTAAAAGGTTAAACAGTTCTGATCCGGTCTGACACTTTCATGAGGCACAGGGGGGATGAGACCTGTGCCAGGTCACTCAGGGGCTGTGGCAGAGCCCAGTCAGGTTGTATACCCACCTGATAGCACATCCTCCTACCTACCCCTCTTCCCTGGTCCTTTGATCTCACTGAAGCCTCCTGGCCAGGCTGCCCACAAGCTGTGTAACTCCCCAAAGTTAAAAGGCCTTCCAGATGCAGGGCACGGATTCAAGTTTCAAGGGTGTTTATCTTTGCTCTCAGTGGACTCTGAGCTCCTAAAGGGCAAAGAAGATATTTCTCACTTTTCCCTGTAAAATGCAGAGCTCCTGTGGCAAACACAAAGGTGAATGTTCCTGTCTCTCTTTAAGAAAGAACTTATGTTCACCTGCAAGGAGGGCACTCAGCTGACAGCCCCTGACAACATTCTTTGTCCAGAGGACACTGGGTTGGCCTAGACTCTGTCAAATCTGCAACAGTCTAAGGTCCTCCCAGTCCAGACTCATTTCCTTCCCCTTCATCTATTTTCACATTTTATTTTTAATTAACAAATAAAATTTGCATACATTTATGGGGTAAAGGTGATGTGTGTGTTTTGTATTTTGTTTTTTAGTGGCACTGGAGTTTGAACTCAGGTCCTCATACTTCCTAGGCAGGCCCTCTTACACTTGCTTTTATTATTTTTTTTTTTTTGTACTAGGGCTCAAACCCAGGCCCTTGTGCATGCTAGGCAAACACTTAACCACTGAGAACTGAGATATGTGATGGTTTTTTTTGTTTTTTTTTTTTTTGAGATAGAGTCTTGAAAACTATTTGTCTGGAGCTGGCTTCAAACCACCATCCTCCTGATCGCTGCCTAAGTGGCTAGGATTACAGACGTGAGCCACCAACTCCTGGCCAAGGTGACGTTTTGATGCCCTCCTCCTCCATCTTTCATAGGCCGTACTGCATGAAAGTACACAGAAGTCTCAGAAGTTTCTCTTTGTTCCTGCTTGTTCTATCTCATACAGTTTAACTGTATGCTGAAATTATTGAGGAATGCACAAACCTGCCCTCTTCCCAAGCTTTCCCTGGCCCCAAGTTACTGGAGAAGGTCATACTTGGAAGGGTGCTTGCTAGAAATGCTGACAACAACAAAAACTAGACACAAGTCACTTTAATTAACTTTGATCATTCATGCCGCCTCCTCTTCTTCCTCCTCTTCCTTCTTCAGAAAAGAAGGAAGCCCAGGTTGTTCTCAAACTCCTGTCTCAGACTCCTGAGTGCAAGGACTACAGACATGTGTGCCACCACACCCAGCTCATTTATGACTTCTTTACATCCACTGGACTGCAATTCTCAGCAACCTATGAGAAGACGAGATGTCCACAGCCCACATTCCAGAAGGGCTATTTTCCAAAACACTGGTCAACTGAAGTATTCACTTGTCTGGGACCCATATTCCTTCCCTTGAAAAATCATATTAAAAAAACTCCCTTAGGAGGGCTGACGGAGTGGGTCAAGCAGTAAGAGCATTTGCCTAGCAAGCGTGAGGCCCTGAGTTCAAACCCCAGTACCGCCAAAAACAAAACTCCCTTAGGGCAGTTTGATGGTCATGGAAGGTGATGGGTTGTCATCTTCCAACAATGCTTACTCCTTGTTAATACAGCTCTTTCTCCTTCACTCTGCCTCTTGATTCACTGACTCCATCCGGCAATAGCAAACCAAAACCTGGTGCAGGCACATTACCATGGCCCCCTCCCTCTTGCTCTCTTATCTCCACCTCAACATCTGCTGTCTGGAGGCCCCAGGTGATACAGCACCTGCCTGGTGTGCCCAGAAAATGTTCACGGAGTGAACCAGACTGGAAACTCTGAGGGTGGAGGGAGGCTGGTGCCTGTGCCTAGCAGGAGGGGATGAGCTGGCCTCTGAGGATGGCTGGGGCATAGAGGAGTGAGGTCTGGAGCTATGAGGAAGGACCATCCCCCACCCCCACCCCCAGGGGGCCCAGCAGTGGGAGCACAAAGTGAGTCCAGAGATTGGCTAGCCTTGCAGGCACCCTCCCTACTGCTTCCTTTTTGGGGCAAACTGCTGTAAAACTATGGAGACAAGGCCAGACCCCTGGCCTTGGACTTGGAAAAACCAAGTTCAAGTTGCTTCTTGCTAGTCAGGTAATTTTATGCCCTCTCCTCTCTGGAGCTCAGTATCTCCATCCATAAAATGGATACAGAGTGTATCCATCTCATCATGATTTTGAGAATTGACTGAGAAGACGCCACAATTTATGGGAAGCAGTGTGTTGGGTGAGTTAAATGCATACTAATTCCGTCAGTTTACAATGGCCCTGTGAGGCCATTGTAACTTACGGAGCTACAGCTCTATAGTAAACGTGGGTTCTGGGAGCGGCAAGAGACAGGCAGTCCCTACTCTCCTGGAGCTTACATTCTGGCCTGTTTGACAACAGGCATCGTCATAAATAGGATAATTCCAGAATGCACTAGGGCTCTGGAACACACACACACACACACACACACACACACACACACACACGAATAAAGCAGGTGCACTTATAAATTTGAGGTCACAGAGAAGCTACTTTGTTGGGAAAGCAAAGGTAGCGTCTGCAAGGCCTGAGAGGGGCAAAGGAGACCCTCTAAGTCTGGGTGAAGTCTGGGTGGCTGGTCTGGGAAGTGATGGAAGGCCGCGCGATGGGCAGGGCACCTGAACTCCAGGGGAAGCAATTCAGGGGTTGGCAGCACAGCCTGAGAAGCGCTATCCCTTCGGCAGCTGGGGCGGGAGGAGAGGGGTAGGTGGGGGGTGGGGGTGCGGGGGGGGGAGGAGGGGGTAGGCCGGGGGTGGGGTGGGACGGGCTGGGGGGGAAAGCGGAAGGCCGGTCAGCAGGTTGTGGCGGGCATCGGGGAAGTAGGGGAAGGTCGGGGTTGCGATCCGCAGTCGTGACACCCCCGCCCCATCGCCTATTATAGCAGCATCGCGCGGGCGGGAAAACCCATTGCCCCCGCCTTAGCCGCTCCTGCAGCGCACACACTGTGCGGCTCTCGTCCCTGCTGGGCCTGGCCCTTGGCGTCACGGCGCTCGCTCAAGCCGCTTGTGACGTCACGGTCCGGACCCGGGACCTTCTCGTGGTTTACGCGAGGGAGGAGGCGCCAGTGGCGAGCGTGTGCCAGCCTGATGAAAAAGATGGCTAGCAAGCAGTCACTGACTAAGACGTTCGGTGGGTGCGCGCCCCCGCGCGGGGCGCTGGTTGCTATGGACGCCGCGGCGGCCGCTGGAGGGCGGGGTCGCGTGGGGTGCAGCGCAGCGCGGTTGTCTCGGGGGCGCGGTGGCGCAGGACCACGCTCGCAGCCAGGGGCGGCACCATGAAGACTATTAGGAGGGAACACCGCATCAGATTGCCAGCAAGCAGGTTTTTGGAGGTCGCAGAGACCATCAGAGGTTGGCGCTGGCTGCCTTGGGTGATCAGGAAGATCCAACAGGGATGCTTGGGTGGGGTTCAAGACAGGGCCTGGAGAATGGGAGTAACACCAGGGACGGAAGTGAAGATCACTGGGAAATGGGGTACAGGACACAGGAACCTTAAGGATGATGGACAAGACAGAGACCTCCCAGAGGAGGAGGCATAGTGCACTGGGCCTTGGGGATGGGGACATAGCAAGTGGGGGACTCAGAAGGCCTTCAGGGGTCATGACTGGGGAGATGGCCTTGGGCAGGAAGAGTAAGACTGCTACCTCTAACCACATGGTTGGCCCTCAGGAGGCGGGATCCCTGAACTGGGTGAGGTGCCCAGGAATCAGGAAACCAGAGGAGCCAGGAAATTGGGTCCTTGGGAAGAGGAATTCAGGAAACAGTCCAAAAAAAAAACATGTTGAGGTGATGAAACCAACCACTTTGATGAGGTCCTAGGGGGTGGGGGAATCACCTAAGAGTCCTACTGGAAAAATCCAGAAGAAATGTCTAGCTTGTTTAGTTCTGTTTCATGCTGCCTTTTCCTACTACCTGCCCTTTCTAGCCGTAGAACACTTGTCTAGCTTGTTCATCCTGGAGTCACTAAACATGCTTGCTTCCACATTCCCATTTGCAACTCACTAACTCTTTGATTTTCTTTTTTTGTGGTGCTGGAAATTGAACCCAGGGTCTTGCACATGCTAAGCAAGAGCTCTACCGCGCAGCTACCCTGCCCCCCCCCCACACCCCGGCCCTGTTTTCATTTACTGAGTGCCTGCTGTGTGTGGATATTGTGCTGGGCAACAAGGTTATTGGTATTAAGTGTGTGTGACTCCAGCCCTCAAGAAACTCAGTCTCATGAAGACCTGGACAAACACTCAAATGCAGTATAAATACTGTGATATGGACGTCCCTGGGGTCTATGTTACTCAGAGCACCTGACCCACGGCTTGGATGGTAGACTTAGGGGGAAAGGTTTTCTGCAGAAGAAAGTGACATTTATGGCAGATCAGGGGGGAAAAAAAAGGCTGGAGATGTAGCTCAGTTGTAGAGTGCTTGCCTGGCAAATGCATAGCCCTGGGTTCAATCACCAGCAAAATAATTTGCTTCTCTGGGTTCAGGGAGCAGTATGAGTTCATGGACCTATGAACATGGGAGCCAGAAATGCCTGCACAGGTGAAAGGGTTTCACATGCAAGACCAGAAAGTCTGAGTGTGTTCTTTCAGGCCTTGGGGGGGTCGACGCCTCAGAGGCATGGTAGAAGCACAATGTGAGGGGAGGGACAGGCCCTGAGTCAGTGAGGTCATCTGGAAAACCACCAGGAGCCAGTTGCTTTTCAGTATGAGTTTCTTTTATGCTCCTTGATAGTATAAAAAGCTGATGCTGTTTCATAACATACTTTTTAATAGTTAAGAGGGCGGGGGGGGGGGGGGTAGGGGGGGGAGTCTAGTTCTCTTTCCCAAGGGCAGTCAAGGGCTTTCCTAGCCACTGCCTCCTGCTCACTTAGTTTCTGTACTGTCTCAATCAGGTTTGAACTTTCTGCTGTAAATAAATCAAGGGAAGGTTTTTTTTGTTTTGTTTTTACTGCGTGTATGTTTTTAATGGGAAAATTCAGTTTGTTAAATAGCCCTTGAGTTAAGAACACAGACCAGTGTGAGGAGGGAGAGAAACAAAGTATTTAATATGCAAGATGGTTTTTGCTCAGTCTTCTCAGGGAGGCCTCTAGTATGATAGGAGAATGCTTGCCCCTTCCTTAATATAATGCTGCCAACAGACAAATGTAACCTTGTTTGTGTTACATTTCCCTGAGGTTTCTGAATCATGAGCAAAAAGACATTAAAAAGTGGTGTCTGGAAACCCATGTAGGGATCCGAGAGCCCTCTTGAGTCCCAGGTTTCTCCTTGGTCTTGTTGCTAAGAAACAGGGAAGACTCCTAGCAGTACCAAATTCCCCTTTTTCCACCAATTAACACTCTTGCCTTGGTGGGGACAGTCCCTGCCTTGGTTTTCCAGCTCAACTTTGAGGTCAGTTTCTCAAAGACTTTCATCAACACTAAAACAATAACACTTAGGGGCTGGCAGAATGGCTCAAGTGGTAGAGCACCTGCCTAGCCAGTGTGAAGCCCTGAGTTCAAATCCCAGCACCACAAAAAAAAAGAAATAAAGAATAACATTTAGATTAAACATGAAGCAGAGAAATAAAATCCAGCTTTCTTCCTCCATAGTTTCCTCTCCCCTGGCCCCCAGCCTGAGCACCTTGCTTCTAGCTGCTTGGCTTCGTTGCAAAAGTGTCACCTGACTGCCCTGTGCAAGCTGGTCTCTTTGACCCCTCAGCTATCAGGACAGATGGAGAAATGCCAGCTCTGTGGTCCACCAATAGACCCACTCAGCTTGCATTTCCAGAACAAAGAACAAGAAAGAGTGGTAGTGACATACCTCCACCCTGTGGAGTTGTACAGCCAGCCTGGAAATATCCCCTACCCTGGGGGCTCTCCTTCCTCCCTGGTCTCCCTGAAATGCCACTGTCATTACTTCCCTCTCTTGTACCAAGGATCAGATGCCTGAGCTGGACTTCACAAAGCCACCATGCCCTGACTTCCTTCATCCCCAGCAGTGCCCCCACCTTCCCAGCAAGCCTTCCATGTCACTGTGCCACACACCTGCCATGCTCAGCCCTGCTCCCTCTGCACTCCAACTGTGGCCTCTCTTGGAACATGTCCATTTGTGTCTCTACCTGTGCAAAGCCTTCCTCTCCCCTCTTCACCTGAGAATCTGTCTCTGCAGCCCAAAACCCTGACCTGCCTGGCTGTCCCTTCTTTGATGTCTAACCAGACATACTGTGAGTGCTTTTCATGCAGGCACCTATGTTGCTAAGATTACTGAGTGTTTCTGTCTGTTGCATTTTTCCATCTGACAAGAGAAGGAGCCATACGTCATAACCTATTATATCATCTCCCCTGTCGTTTATAGACATAGAAAGTGCTTAGTGAATATTCTGCAGGATGAATTTAACTTTAAATGTATATATCATTTCAATGAATAGTTTGTTAACCAGAACACACCATCTCCTAACTGTATGTTGTAACAATATTTATTGTAGTCCATTCAAGATAATTATCTCATGGCAGCATGAATCCTTAATCCCAGCTACGTGGGAGGATCTCAAGACCCTATACAAAAAACAAAGAATGAAAGCAAATCAAAGGGGGCAGGGCTTCGTATGTGGCTTAAGTAGTAGTGCTTGTCTAGCAAGCACAGGCCCTAAATTCAACCCCAGAACTGAAAAAAAATCCCAGAAAAACCTCAGACCAGGCTGCTTCAATCTCAATGAAGCATGATAAATCAGTTTCTGTATCGCTAAAAGGGAATGGGAGCTTTGACTCCCAATGTCAAAAGTTTGTATTTACACATGGTAATTCTACTCCCACCAGTGGAAAACACACCTGGAGATGTTTAGTCCCTTGGGAAGATGTAGACCAACCAAGGTAATGGACAGAAGAAACAAATGTCCTGGGAGAGAAAACCAACATGTTCATAAACGCAGACCTTCAGCTGCTACCAATTCTCTTTGATGAGTGCAGAAGGGAGAGAGAAGTAGAAATTAACCCAAGGTGGGTGTTGTGGTGCATACCTGTAGTCCTAGTTCTCAGGAGGAAGAGGCAGGAAGATCCAAGAGTTGGAGGCCAGCCTGGGATATAAAGCAGGACCCTATCTCACAAAAACAAAATGAAGGAGGAGGAGAAGGAGCAGGAGCAGCAGAAGGAGAAGGAGAAGAAGAATAAGAAGAAAGAAAATTTAAAACCCAAGGTTGTATCTCCACACATGGCGGCAGATCAGACTAGGATGTCAAGCCACTGGGCCCTATATGTATGTGCGCGTGCGTGTGCCTGTGTTTAGTGGACAGATAGTCCTGAGCTGCTGTGGAAGCTCCCTCTGTGGAGGAGATGGACTGTGGCTGATAGCCTGAGCTTAGAGTTACATTTGGAATGATTCTGACTTTTTTTTTTTTTTTTGGTCACTATGTGGATACTTCCTTAAAAAATAGTTTGATTTTGTTTACCAAAACCCCTGCCTTGATGTTTTAGTGATGGTCTCTTAAAGATTAGGACACATTTGTATGAAAATGTCATAATGAAACCCATATTTTCTACAATTGCAATACAGCAATAAAAATAGTCTTTAAAATAAAAGATTAGGGCACTTTGAGAAGCAATAGATAAAACCAAGTTTTCTTTTAAATGCCCTGAAGGCAGGGCTTAGTTTTCTTTCTACTGTTTTGTCAAGGGCCTTACATTAAACTGTACTGAACCAGAGGGAAAAAGATGGGATTACCAGCCAGAGAAACAAGACATATGTGTGACATGGCTAAGCCTCCTCTTGGAAGGCAGGCGAAGAGTGTCCTGGTCAGAGAGAGGCCTCTTCTGCCTCATACGTTGTCAGAGTCCTGCACCCTGGCTGCCACTTGAGAGACAAAGGCTCTGATCTCTCCCCTTTTCTCCGGTCACATGAGTCACTGCCATCGATCACTTCATTACTGTAGACTCTTAAATGATCTGGTCCTCAATCTCACAGCCCCTAGGCCATCCCTGTGTTGCCACTTCCCACAGGATAGAGATCAAAGTCCTTTGGCTCTCTAAGTTCTTGGTGATATATGCCCTATTTCCCTCTCCCTTCTGCTTCCCGCCTCCTACCTCAGGACACTCCAGCTGTTTTAAAACACATGCTTTGATCACTTACTAGCTATGTGGAGAAAACAACACACATGACTTGAGTTCTAGGGTGTGCTCCCTTCTCCCTTGCCTCTAGGCCTATAGACGCTGTTCCCCTTGGAACGCTTGCTCTGCAATGCCATCTCCCTTTCTGGGCTTCTCTTCATCCTTTCATTCTTAACTTAAGCATCATGTCCTTAGGAAGCTTCCCTCACAACCCCATGGACTAGGCTGGGGCCCCCGGGTGCCTCCCTAGTGCCCTGAGCTCCGTCTGTTTTGACAGTCTTGTTTCTTTCCTTGTGGGTGTCTTCACCCCAGTCTTCAAAGACTGAGACTCTGCCTAGTCCCCCAGAACCTAGCACAGTGCCCGAGGCATGGAAGCTACTTACACAGTAGTTATTGAATGAAATGATATGAAATAAGTGGTCAGTGGTGAATGTGCTGTTTCCCCCCGAAGCATCTGCATTTAACCAGTGTCTTGAGAAAACTGATGCCTTCACCCAAAACAGGTCAGTACCAGCACTGGAGGAGACTGAGGGAGCATCTACTCCAGTTGTCCCAAACCAGCTGGCAAAGCGGCTCAAGTAGTAGTGTGCCTGTCTAGTTAAAGCATGCGGCCCTGAGTTTGGACCCCCCTACTGCCAAACCACTGTGCACCAGAATCCCAGGATTTAATTCTTCAAATTCCTTGGCTCTGCACAGTAGCCAGGAAGCTATATTTGTAAAGGTCTCCCCAAGAAGATACTGAAGCTAATATTTGGGAGCTGTTGATTTAGGTCAACTTCTTCTTTTTACAAATGGAAGATGAGGGCCCAGAAAGGTTAAGTGATGCGTACCTAAGGTTGTCTAGCTTATAAATACAGCCTGAAATGGAACATCTTTTGATCTCAGTTCTGGCTACAGAAGCTTCAGTCATTGTGGTACACCAGGGGCAGTGGGCATGGGGACCCTTATGAGAGAACTCCTATCACCCCAGCAAGGTGCTTCCTGAACCACAGTGGCAGCCTCTGCTGTCCTGTCCAGATGGCCAGCCTGGCCCCTTATGATGAAGTCTAATATGGATTTGTTTGTTGGTTGGTTGGTTGAGATAAGGTCTCACTGTGTAGCCCAGGTTGTTCTTGCTGGGTCCCGGATCAGAGCTTCCTCCCACCCTCCACTTGCCCGTGTTATATCATCCTCCTGCTGCAGCCTCCTGAGTACTGAGATTACAGGAGTGTGCCACTATACCTGGCTATTTCTTTGTTTTTCTTGCAGTGTTAGGGATTGAACCCAGGACCTAGCTGCCTCACACATACTAGGCAAATGCTCTATCACTGAGCTGTATCCCCAGCCCTAGGTTTATAGTTTTATTTATGTATTTACATCTACAGAAAGCTCTTGGAGCACATCTAACATTCTGGTTCTCTTCAGAAAAGAAGCGGGCAAAGACAGCTGAACAGCCCACGCCCCCCATTCAGGAAGAGACGGAGCCTATTAGTAATGTCCTACAAGGAGATGACATTCTTGCATTAGCCATTAAGAGGGAAGACTTGAAGAAGGTAAGGGTGAAATCCAGGGTTCCCTTACAGCAGACCCCTTTTCCCTGCCAACCTTTGTGGTCTAGAATGTCAGCCATGCCAAAGTCTCTCCATTGGCTCTCTACCTAGAGGGAGTGTCTAATTCTGTGGAAAAAAGTCATTGAACACAAATTCTTTTCGCTTTAGCAGCTAAAGGAATTTACTGTGTTGTTTGTTTTCACATTTCTGAGATTTGTGTAGAACCACAGAGGCCACTGTACTAATGAGCTACCTTGCTTCCCAGAGGCAAGCCATTATGCCCATTTCACAGGTGGGAATATGAGTTTCAGAAGCACAGGCTTCTGTGGATAATGCTGCTAAGCCCCACTCCCCTGCTTTACCCGTCAGTCATTCTCCCTTGAACTGTCCAGAGGCATCCGATGTTATTTTTGTCCCTCCAGTGGGCTCCTTAGTCTCATGTGTGTTAGACAGGCATTTCTTCAACAGGACATATGGATGGAGCTGGGGAGGCAGATGTGTCAGCCTTCAGGAATTCCACCAAGATCTGGGGCAGAGGAGGTGGGTGGAGCTCTTCCTCCTCCCCATCTCAGGTGGAATTCTCTGTCGTTTCTTTTCAGCAACACATTCCTCGGCTTACTGAAACACAAGACAGGCCTGTTATTACTCAGAAATTTATCATTCGTAAGCTCAAACCCAAGGATCCTCGAAGGAAGGTCTGTCACTTGGTAGCACATCCTGCTAATCCAGATGCAGCCACAAAGCCCCTGGACTATTCTGGTATGGCTAGTTTTGATCCTGGCACCACTGGGTTTTGAATGTGTGGGTCTGCCTCGAGAGAAAGCCCAGTCTTCATCAGAAAGTCACCCCTTCAGTAGTTTACAACTACTCCCTCTTTTCCTCTCAGGTCCTGGTGACAACTTCGATAGCAGTGACCAGATCCTGCCTCACCACATCTTAGGGAGTCTCCAGGACTTTAAGAGAATTGCAGTTGCTCGAGGGAACACCCAGGTTTGTCTACAGAGCTGCCTGGCTGAGAGAAGCCACCAAAACCATTTCAGTCCGCCACCAGCAGAGCCAAGCAGAAGAGAATTAAAGAGGGTCTGGTCTCTGGGCCTTGAGTCTGAGATGATAAGTGACCCTCCCAGAGTGACATGCTTCAATTGTAAGTCACAGAAGCCAATTGAAGCTGGCTTCAGTTTAAAGGAATTGTAGGATTTACTATAAGGCATACGGGGCTTGTCTCATGGAACCTGGGTCTGGGTAGGCAGAACCCAGAAAGGCATCAGAACTCTGGGTCCTCATTGCCCTCTGCTGCTCTGTGCTGGCTTCACTTCCCCTTTTTTAGAGACTGGCCTCTTGTCCTCATGGAGAAAAGTGGCTTCCCACTGCTCCCAGAGTGATCTTCCCATCATGCAGTACTTCTCTGTCTCTCATATCCTTCACTCTCATTGGTGCGAGGCAGCCCGGGGGTCATGTAAAAATGGCTCTATCATCCTAGCAGAAGGCACAATTAGCATCAGTTGTGAGGAAGAGTGCCACAATCTTAGAGAGATTTCTGGGAGAGGGGGCTGACAGCTGCTGCCACCTCCCCACCACCTCTTTTCTGTGATTTGTTTTCTGACGTTTACCACCCTGTGGTCCTGAAAGAGAGGCGGGATTCTTAGCCGAGTGGGACAAGAGCAGAGCCTTAGGCCTCCAGAAACCTGGTGGGCTCCAGGTTAGAGCATCCTCCCACTTTCCACCTGTCCATGTTGTACTTTTCAGCTGGCGGAGCTGATACAGACCCAACCCTGCCTGATGACCTTCATCACAGCTAAAGAAGAGCCAAAGCAAAGGGCCCCAAAGGAAAAGAAGAGACCTCCCTGGGCCCCACCTCCTCAGCACAACTTTCTGAAAAACTGGCAGCATCATCTCACCCTGCGGAAGAAGCAGCAGGAAGCCCTCAGTGGTGAGCAGAGCAGACAGGGCCCCATGCCTGGCCTCCATCTGGCATGGAGGCTCTGTTGTGTTTTTCTTCTCTCCCTCACCTGTGCAGAGCCTGGACCTGAGCTGGTCACATTTGGGCTTCTCATTCCCAAGAGCTTCTTTTCATTAAAGCTCAATGGATACCCAAATCACCCCCTCTGATTTCAGCCACATTCTTGTGGCGCAGGGCCCGTGGATTCTGTTTTGGGGGAACAGCTACGTTCTTGTCTCTCACTCCCTAGAGCACCTGAAGAAGCCGGTTGGGGAGCTTCTGATGCACACTGGTGAGACCTACAGAAGGATCCAGGAGGAGCGGGAGCTCATTAACCGTACACTCCCAAGACAGCGTGATGGGAATGTGAGGACACTGTTCCCAAGAACCCTGGGCTCGGGGTGGAGGCCTGGGCACAGGGCTGGTTTGGCTCAAGTTTCACAGTTGGAGAGAAAAAGAAATCTATCCATTGCAAAGCCTTGTTAAGCCCTTGGGAACGTCACTAAATTCTATTATTGGAAGGGGACCAGCAACTAGAGGAAAAAAAAAATTCTATTATTGGGTATTTAATAATTCAACCTGTAGTGATCCCTGGCAGTCAGTGTGATACTGAATTATTACAAAACTCTTAGTGTTTGTCTCCTAAAGGTTTAGACTCCAGCTTTCTGTCTACCCCAGGTTCTGTGCTTTGTCCTAGTACATCAGTGAGTGCCTGGACCAGTCCACACTGTCTTTCTGGGGAGTGGAAAGGCTACAGTAGGACATCCTGAAAACATTCTGCTTCTCTTCTGCCATCAGGGCAGCAATGGATCCCCAGAAGGAGCATCTGTGTTCCGTGGTGCTCTTGTCTTTCTAGGTCCCCACTAGCCTCTGGCTGAGTGTTGAAGGTGACCTCACTGTTCTGTCCTTCCTTGCCAGGACTTTAAGGACACCATTGGGTTCTGGAGTCCATTGGAATGTTTGGGAGATGAGATGACAGGTCTGATCATGACCAAGACAAAAACTCAATGTGGCCTCATGGAACCTATCACTCGCATCAGGAAGCCCCACTCTATCCAGGTGGAGACGGGTGAGGAACGGGGCTGTAAAGCACCTAGCATCTGTGCCCAGTGCAGGAGGCAGGGCCATGTAGTGGTACCAGCATGGGTCTCTGTGAGACAGACCTGGGATTAAGTCCTGGTTCAGTGAGGCCTTGGGTGAGTGGCAGACCCTTCCTGAGATCCAGTTCCCCTTTCAGCAAAACAGTGACAGAAATGGTAGGGAAGGCAGGGTAGGAGCTACACTGTTCAGTCAGCAGCCTGAGCCACATGCAGCTGCTGTGTACCTGGAATATGCCAGTCTGTATGGAGACCAGCTGCAAGTGTAAACATATTTTGAAAACTAGTTTGAAAAAAAAAGGATTCTATTAATCATTTTTATATTGATTATATGTTCAAATGATAATAGTTTTGATATATTGAATTAAACAAACAATATTAAAATGAGTCTCACCTCTTTCTTTTTACCTTTTCAATGTGGCATCTAGAAAATTTGAAGTGACACACCTGGGCAGCCATACTTTAGAGCCTACTGGCCTGACTGGGTTTAGGTCTTACATGTTGGCTTTTTGAACTCCAGTGAGACATTTGACCCTTCTGGTTCTTGGTTGTCCAAGCGTAGACTACTCAGGGTTGCGAGAGGGTCCAATGAGACACAATGTGTGTTAAGAAGTCCAGGTCCATTGTTTGATTGCAATTCAGAGATTTAGCTGTTTGGAAGCTGATTTTGCGGGAGTCCTGTGTAGGGCTGCTGAGGAGGTGTGGGGCAGGAGAAAGCTGCCCCTAGGGAAGCTTTGTTTTCCATCCTTCTCAGCAGTGTGTTGGGATGGGTGTTCTCAGGGCCCCATGGGCAGTGGGTGGAGAACGGGGATGGTGCAGCCTGTGCTGAGGGTCCTTGGACCCCGCTCTAGGATTACGAGCCAAGAAGGATGCTTGGTATCGTTACACCTGGGACCGGAGTCTGTTTCTGATCTATCGCCGCAAGGAGCTACAGAGCATCATGGCTGATCTGGATTTTAGCCAGCAGGTTAGTAACACCTCCATGCCCCCGTCTGAGGGCCTTAGGGTGGTACCTGCCTTCAGTCAGCTAATCTTTCCTCTCTGTCCCTCTAAGGATATTGACGGCCTGGAGGTGGTGGGCCGAGGGCAGCCCTTCTCATCAGTCAGTGTGGAAGATTGTACAATTTTTGAAAAGAGCCAGGAAAGCTCCTCTGAAGACAAAGAGTGAGTGGAGCCTGGGCCCCAGGGAGAGTGGCCGGAGGGTGTGGCTTTTCAGAGCCCACAAGTGTTAATGGGCAGGCTTCTCTCCTCAAACTGAGGCTGCCTCCATCCTAGCCTCTGGGGTGGCTATTGCCCCCTCCACTAGCCCATTCCAGTACCTGCACTAGCTTTCCTGCTCCCATCTTCCTCTTTCCAACCATTGTCTAATGGGGATTGCCCAGACATTGTTTTGCTAGTTAAATGGGTCCTCCAGAACCATGCTGGCCATTCCTAACAAGCTCCCGCCTTGCCTCAAGGAATGGATCAGGAAGAAACTGAGAGCCTGGCTGATGACATTGCCACTGCAGGGCAGAGCTAGTCATGTCTTAGTCTTTTTGGCAGCTGTTTCCATGGGTTCCATGTGGCCTTGACTGTGCACCCAACAGGAAAATAAGTCATTGGTTTTTCTTACAGAGAATTATTGACCAGTTACCCTGATACAGCCTCCATGCCTATTCTTGGCCCTTCTCTGCTGTTCTGTGGGAAGCCAGCTTTCTGGATCAGAGGCAGTAACCCAGAGGGCAAGGTAAACCCGCCTTCACCTTCACTCACTGCTGGAGGGACCTCCCTCATGGGTACCGCCCCAAGGTGACCGTGGTAGTCACAAGGAGCCCCACACAGCCTCCTGTTTGTGTTTTTATCTGGTCACACATTCAGCATGTCTGAAAATGGTAACAGCAACACTCACCTGAACAAGAATAAAATCACGAGGCTGCAAAGAGAGTGTCACAAGCTACCTAGTTTGTACTTAGCCCCCAAACAGGCAAATGAGCAAACTTTCCTATGCAGCTAGGGATTTAAGAAGATTCTAAAATAGTCTTCAGATGTAAGGGAGCAGAAATGTTCATTAGGCATAAAACCTACCTTCTTACTATTGATTATAACTTCAGAGATAGCCACTATTGGGATTTGACACCACCCTGAGGGTGGCCAGGTCCTGGGGAGCTGGGACCTGGGACCTGGGAATTTCAGCATAAAACCAGAGGAATCTCAGGCAAACTGGTGACCCTAGGCAAGGGCCTCCAGCTTGGACAGCTCTCCTACCTCCCTCCTTCCCAGAGGAATGTCGGAATTGGTGCTCGCTTGACCTTTGAAACCCTGGAAGGGGAGAAAACATCTTCAGACCTGACCGTGGTCAATAATGGCACTGTGGCCATTTGGTACGACTGGCGACGGCAGCCCCAGCTAGATTCTTTCCAAAGCCTGAAGAGAAACAGGACACAGCGGTTTTACTTTAACAACCGGGAAGGTACCTAGAAGCTGATCTCACTGGCTCCTGCTTTTGTACCTCTGTGTCTGAGAGACACCAGCATCTAGTCAGTTCCAAACTCTTCCAAGTTTGAGCCTCTCCTCTGGGCCTTGTCTCTCCCATTTCTACTGTGAAGTGTGTGTGGTCTAACTATTTGTGTCTGTTGAGGAAATGTTAGAACTCTTGAGACCAAAAGCAGTGAGCTGCCAGGTAGCAGAAGATTTCTAGGGGCTCATTTGCTTATGGCACAGAGCTAGGATGGCTAACCATTCCCTGTTTGCCTGTAACTCTCCCAGCTTTAGCACTCAAAGCCACACATTCTAGGAAACCTCTCAGTTCTGGATGGTTGGTCACCAGAGCTAGGTCACAGCTAATATATGTGCTTAGCTTAGGGCTCAGTTAACTTTCCACATGCAGGCTTGGGTCTTGGCCAGCTTCTCCTTATTGAAAACCACTGCCTCTGTCCTCTCAGGTGTGATTCTGCCTGGAGAAACAAAAAACTTCACCTTCTTCTTCAAGTCTTCGAAGGCTGGGATCTTCAGGGAATCCTGGGAGTTTGGAACCCACCCCACCCTCCTGGGAGGTGCTCTTCTACAGGTCAATCTCTATGCAGTCTCATTGGCCCAGGACATTTTTAAGGATGACAGGATATTGCTGGAGGTAAGGGACCCAGGACTTCAGCCCCAGGAGATACCAGATCTGTTACCCTGATGTTCTTTCTGGTAGTGCCTTTGAGTATCTTATTTCTCCCAGCCTACAGGGTGAATTTTTCACAAACAGGTAACTATTCTTGCTCAACAAACTCTTCAGAGGGCTTTATGATATAGAAGATAGACAGCTGGGCTAGGGCAGGGCAACTTGCAGACCCACCATGCACAACCCCCACTGGGTTAGAAAGGAATGAAATGGAGCCCTGAGATGCAGAAGGTATGGAAGTACTTACAAGAATCCAAACAGATCACGTGCCCCTTCGGTGTTGGCATTTGTTCTTTGCTGTCTGGTACTGTGCACTAGAATGGCATTTACATGGTAAGACTTCCAAACCAGAGACAACAATTTAAATAGCCCATCTCACCAGCCCACTCCTGGAGTGGGAGTGAGTGTGGTGGGAGCTGGGAATTGCTGCCTCCAGTCAGTCTCATCTGACTGCCTCCATCTCATCTCGTGGGGAAAACTGTGCATTTGTGTTCACTGTGACCCCAAAGATATAGCCAGCTGTTTCAACTGGGGCTCAACTAGCAATGATCAAAGATAGCTTTGATTGATGTCAGGTTTGCTTTCCTTGCTGATTATTGGAGTGATGCTTTGAGAGATGCCCTTCTCCTGGGGTTCTGTGATCCTGACTGTGTGGCCAAGCCAGGTGAAAGTTTACCACCATTCTCAGCAATGCCCAAATGGTGTGTTGGTGACCCGTCCCCTTCCTCCTATCTGGGGGAAATCTAAATCCCATGCAGGAGCAGCTCTGCTCTGGGACTGGCCCCCAGATCCTCTTCTTTTGGAGAACAAGGGTGTTTTGACAGACCCAGAGGTTTTTGAGTCTTGGAATAGGGGTGTGTGTGTGTAAGTGAGTCATAGACAAAGGCAGGAAGGTCCAAAGTTCAAGGTATCAGGCTTCCTGGAGGATGCATGGGTGCTGAGAGTCTGGGCTGCCATGTTGTGCCACTTTTCCTTCCCCAGAACAAGCTGGCTGCCCGTGAGGCGGTCACCATCGTGCAGAGCGTGGTACAAGAACTGCTAAGGGGGATCTCGACCCCAGAGCGCATGCTATCACCTGTGGATGCCTATCTCACTGAGGAGGACTTGTTCCAACACAGGCATCCCCAGGTATGGCCCTGAGTGATTTTAGTAGTAAACCCTTCAATGTGCCAGGACCTGTTTTGAGTGTCTTTCATGGGTAACTCACTTTCCCCTCACAGTGGTTCTATGAAATAAGGGTACTTTTTATATTCCTATTTGAAACAGGAGAGCAAGGCACAGAGAGGTTAAAGAACGTGCCCAAGTTAGGTAGCCAGCAGATGCTTAGTGGGAACAGAGTGTCACAAACTCCTTCATTCAAACACAGCCTTTCTTTGGAAGTATCCCCCACCACCAAAAAAAAAAAGAAAGAAAAGAAAAAAATCTTTTAAGTTGGAGATGCTCAGGTTAAAGGGGAAGTTGGGAGTCCCTCTGGTCCTGGCCACTGCCACTGGCTTCATTTCTGCCTCCTAGTCAGGGCCCTCGGGGCAATGGGAGAAACTTCGTTGGCTGGCATGGGCTTAGGGTGCACTGGCCAGCCTCCCCCTCACTTGGCATCTCTCACTTTGGCTGCAGCTGCATTACCAACATCAAGTGGTACAAAACCTGCACCAACTATGGCACCAGTACATGATCCTGCCTCTCAAGACCCAAGAGGCCCAGCTAAGCCAAGAGAAGCCCCAGGGCTCCAGGACCCCAGGGGTTATGGTCCCGTCAGTCTATATGGGGAAGACCTCAACAAATGCTGACCAACTGGCATGGCAGGAGCATGTGACCCAGACGGAAGGCCGAGATCTTTTCCTGTCCCAGAAGTTTGCAGTGGAGCCCAAGAATTCTCCGCGGAAGAGCATCATGGAGGAGATCCTGGTGGAGGAGAGCCCAGATGTGGACAGTGCCAAGAGCCCTTCCGAGCCCCTGCCTGAGTGGAACCTCTGCTTGGAAGATTTCAGACAGGTGTTTCCAAGACCTGGAAGGGGGTGGTGGAACCAATGAGGGAGGCCCAAGAAGCCTCCCTTACCTCATTGGCAAAAGAGACCAAACCTTCTGAGGGCCCAGAGAAAGCCATCTTTTGGTTCAAATCTACTTTTGTGGGTTTCCCGGGTGGCTATGGTGGCTATAGAGCCTCTCCTACTATGACACTGAAAAACCTGGAGAAGGGGTTCATGGGTATTGTTTTCTCAGGGAGGTCCCAGGCCCCCACAGAAGGAATCCTAGACAGACTCCATGGCTCTTTGTTCCTAGTCCTCAACTACCTGACCCATCTCACCATTCCAGACACTAGAGGACACAGGGATCCTCGGAGTCATAGCACAGAGCAGTTGCTCATGGTGCCCATGACCCTATCTAGGCAGTGATGACTCTCCCTGAAGAGCCCCAGAGAGAGGATGCCCTAATCCAGCTCAATGAGGCAGCCCTGGAGCTGTGCCAGGAGCAAAGGCCATTGCAGTCCGACCTCCTGCACCAGATGTGGTAGGTGAACTCCCAGGAGAGTCATCGAGTTCCTTCCCTTAATGGTACCTGGTCAGGTTTCCTGGATAGTAGGACTCACAGGCTGAGTGCCCCTTGAACTCATGTTGCTAAAAGATGCTGAAAGCCTTCCATGCTCTGGAACTTGCCCCAGCATCCCCTCAGCATCCTGCTCCTCTCTGCCTCAGCAGAGTAAATACCTGGCCTTTTTCCCCTTCCTCTTCTCTTGCTCCTTCTCAATGAGAAGAATGAAAACAGGACACAGCAGAAGGCACGGAGAAGAGATGAGAAGAGAGGCAGATTCATTAAAAGCTTCACTTCTCTGTTGTCAGATGTCCCACTGTCTGTTTGGAATTTGCTTGGATAGGCTTGGGGACCTTTTGCAAAGACCCTCAGAACCCAGCTTCCAGAGCCTCATGCTGGAAGTCTTGCACACGACTCATTCATCCCTTCCAGTGGGGCTGTACCCAAGTCTAGCAATGGCTTCAAGCTGGAGTTTAGACTTGAAGTAGGACTGAGTTCATAATGGCCTCTTAACCCTAGTCTTGGACCATCTTTTCTTGGCTACTGTCCCAGGGAAGTCAAATCCCCATCTAAGTGCTTGCACCTTGCTGGAGAAGATACGGGCTGCTTGGTGCTGTGGAATTTCCATGTTAGTTCTTGGCACTAGGGTCTTTGTAGGGAGGCACCTGGGCCTCTGCATGTTCAAGGACAAATGGACAGTGATGGCTTTTTCCAATGTGCTTTGCCCTCTAGTTTGCAGCTGTGGCGAGATATGATTGACAGCCTGGTGAGCCATTCCTGTGGCTGAGGGCTCTGCTGGGCCTGCCCGAGAAGGAGACGGTCTATTTGGATATTCCTGAAGAGCAAGGTCAGACATTCTACAGCCACATCTCTGTGTCATCTTCCCCATCCCTCTGCCCAGACAGCAGTGGTGCCTTGGCCATTTGTCCCCTACAGTAGACACTCTACCAGGTTGATCCCACAGAGTGGGCCCCTGTCACCCTTCTCTCTACTGTCAGGATTTGGGAACCAAAGAAAGCTATCTTAGCAATCACCTTAGATCAGTCCCCTCGTCTTTCAGGTGGAACCCCAGAGAATTTAAATGACTATAGTGGAGCTGGGACTAGAAGCCAGGTCTCTTGCCTCTGCCCCACAGTCCTGTGTCTCTAGTGGTCGGGGGGGTGGGGTCTGTGGGAATTCTCCCAAAGCTGCTGAGAATAGGGCTCAAGGCCATTGCCCTTTATTTTCCCATCTTGTTTCAGCATCATCAAAAGCCTGTAGTGTCAGCTGGGCCACAGGGGGCCTGCTACATTGTCTTCCACTCACTTTCCTTAGATCAAAAGTCATCTCCCATCACAGAAATAAAGGTGCCAGCTGGGAAAGTTGGGAGGGAGGAGCGGAAAGGGGCATCCCAGGAAAAGAAGCAATTGGGAGCCAGAGACAAAGAAGACAAGAAAGGAGCCAAGATGCCAGGAAAAGAGGCATGCTGGGACATGGGCTGTGCCCTAGGTGGGGCTGGGAAGGGCTCTGGAAGGGCTGTGCAAGGTGGGCGGTTGCTCTAGCACAATGTCCAGCTCTCCCAGAGAGCTGCTGTGGATAATGTTCTGGACCTACCTTGGATACTATGGAACGCCATGTGTGTCCATCTCTCCAAACAGGACCGTGTCAACAGCAAGAAGCAGAAGGCAAAGGATGACAAGAAAGTAATGAAAACTTCAAGTCGGGACAGGCTTTCCTCAGAAGATCCTTCAGCATCTTATCCCACCGCCCCTACCCAGGAGCCCATGGATCCCCTGGTCATGGAGAAATACACCCAGAGGCTGCACACGGAGGTGAAAGGAAGAGTGAGCCAGTCATCCCTCCCTCATATCTGCCTCATTCATTCCACTTATCCCACCACTATGTGCCTGCGCTGTCAGTGAGCTAGCATAGGGAAACCTGAGGTGAAGGGTGGCCAGAAGAACGCCCCAGGCCAGGGAAGCAACAGGCAGACTTGAGAGGGAGGCTGCACATAGGTTCTTCGGGGGGCCTTGTGGACCCTTGCTGGCCATTGTGAGGACTTGGGTTCTTTTTTTTCATTCAATTTTTTTAATTTTTATCTTTTAAGGACTAGGGGTTTTCTCAGTGAGCTGAGAAGTCATGCAGGCTTCTACATGAAAGAGTGATGTGGTCTGACTTAAGCTTTCAAGGGCTGCTCTGGCTGTCATTTGGAAAACAGACTCTAAGCAGGAAGAGAGGAAGGAAGCACTTCTCTTTCTGTCATTTCTGCCTCCCTCTGTTAGGTGCACCCTGGTAGACTTATACATGTAGGGTTGTCTTAGTCTGCTTTCTGTTGCTTTAACAAAATGCCACAAGCCAGGTGACTTATAAGGAAAGAAGTTTATTTTGGCTTATGGTTCTGGAGGCAGGGAAGTCCAAGAGCAGAGTGCTAGGGAGGGCTCCATGCTGCTTCAACTCATGGTGGAAAGCAGAAGGGCAAGTGGGCATGTGAGGAATGGCCTCACTTCCTAAAACCTGCTGGAACTCACATTGTCCTGAAGGCATTAGTCCTTTCCTGAGGGTGGGGCCCTCATGACTCAAACATGGCTAAAGTCCCACCACCTCTCAACACCTTTACATTGGGAATCAAATTTCAAGATGAGCTTCAGAGGGGACCAACCACATTCAAGGGATAGCAACAGTGCATCTACTGGAAAGACTTCATCCGGACTATTCTTAAGCAGCAGGCCCTTAGCGGTTCATCTAGGGTTTTTGTTTTTATCTTTTGGTATCAGAGGAGAGGTCCTCTAAGTCATATTCAATATGTCAATGTGGCTAATAGTAAGGCTTTGTCTTCCTGTGACAGGGGCAGTTGGGTTTACATCACTGTACATTGTGGCCACACTCCGGATCTCATTTGATGAGAAGTTCCATTTGCTGCTGGTGACATCACTGAGCTTCCTGATGTTTGCTGGGGTTTGGAAAGTAATTAAAGGGCTCTGAGGATTCATGGGGTCTAAGCTCTTTCTTGGCTTTATGATATTCCAAATCAGTTTGCTTAGACTTGTGTGATCCAGCCCCACTGGAGGGTCCAGTCTCAGAGACCTTTCAGTGTGTGAATCTGTGATCCTACAGGAAGGAGTGATGGCCTCCAGGAGTCCAGCATGGAATTGGGGCTAAGCTCAGGCCCACCCTAGATCTGAAAAATACATTTGCAAAAAAACCAGTTCTACCCAAACTCTCTTTATTTTCCCCTTCTCCATCTATTTTCTATTTTTCCTGAGGTACTAGGGTTTGAACTCAGGGCCTTATCCTTGCTAGGCAAGCACTCTACGACTTGAGCCACACCCCTGGCCCTTTTTCATTTTGGTTATTTTTGGATAGGGTCTGGAGTTTTTGCCCAGGGTCAGTCTAAGACTGTGATCTTCCTACCTAAAGCTTCCCTTGCTGGGATCACAGATATACACCATTATGCCTTGCTTGTTGGTTGAGATGAGATCCCACTAACTTTTTGCCCAAGTTGGCCTCAAACTGCAATCCTCCCCATCTCTGCCTTCCAAGTAGGTGGGATTATAGGTGTGTGAAAACACTCTTGGCTCTCCATCCATTCTCTTGTAGGACAGTTGATATATAGGTGTCTTCTGCAAGCAAACCTTTGCCTGTGATGTCTGCTTCGTTCTTTCAGGTCTACGGGCTGCTGGACACCCTGCTGACTGAAATGATGATCCTGGCTGATGAGCTCAGCCCTCTAAAGAATGTCTATGAGCCTTTGCATCTATGTACCTGACTGGGGCCCAGGCAACGCCCTGGGAACCTGTTAACAAACAAGCTAATAAAGACCCTTTGGATTTCTAATGCTTCCATTATGCCTCTTGGTCTTGGATATTGAATCTCTACGAGATCGGTTCATGGCCTAGGTCCTCCCATGTTCTGCCTGCCCTTCTCCTGGTTCCCCCAACTGGGGAGGTAATCTGCCATGGCAAGCAGAGGAGCAAGTTCGCAGGACAAGGAAGTCAGGTGACAGAATAGATTGCATTGCCCTCTTGGTCCCTGTCTTGGCCCACACTTTCAGGGTCATACTTCCTGGAGCCAGGTCAAGAGTGTCATCACCAAGTAAGACAAAGTGTGAGACTAGGGGAAAGAGAGTCCATGGGACTCGCTTCCTGGGACCCCTCACTTTACCTGCCTTGCCCCCAACCCAAGTTGTCAACATGGTACTCACCACGCCTCTTAAACCCTGGAGGCCAGCCTCCCTTGTGCTCAGCCAGAGATTATTTTGTGTCAAACCATATGGCCCTGAGCCATTTTTCTGCGATGGTGGCCCACGCTTGTAATCCCAGCATTCAGGAGGTGGAGGAGGAGGCGGGAGGATCATGAGTGTGAGGCTAGCCTGGGCTACATAGCAGGACCCTGTTAAAATAAAAAAGAAACGATAAAGAAAAAGCAACCAAGCCAAACCAAAAAAGGTCTCAGGAATTTCCCGTTCTTCCTAGAATTTAGGATTGTAGGAATGGGATGGGTGGCAGCTTGGAAAGAAAGGCGCTGCCTGCTTAGACCAGCCCAGCACCACGTGGTTTTCTGCAAATGGCAGGTGGTCTTGTGGTCTCTAGGCAGAATGGAGCAGAAAAGTGGGGGCTTTGGAGGCTTGGCTTGAAGCCCCTTGGATTCATGGCTGGTGTTTCTGGTAAAGACCTCGCAGCCCTCCAACAGCCTCCAGTTGAGACGAGAGAAGGAGGTTCAGAGAGGGCAGGACATCTCTGCTGTTTCCTCTCCCTGAGTTGGGGAGGTAGGGTCCAGTGCTCCCTCAGGGTGGCTGGAGCAGCCAGCTGGGAGCACACAAAGGCCTGGCCCCCGGGAATGGGTCTGCCCTCTGCTTTAATGTCCTCCTGTCATTAAAGGAGGAGGGGTAGGGCATGGTGGGGGTGATGGAGCTGCCTCCCTCTTCCTGTTGAGGAGGCAGGGGAACGGTTAACTCATCACAGGGTGGGAGTGGGTCAGCTCCAGAGCTGTACCTCTCCTCTGGGGACACTAGCAGGCAGGACATGCCACCTCTGAATGCACCGCCTGCCGGCAGCAGGAAGGGGTTAACAACGCACCGCCCTGCGTGCTCCTGTGTCCTGTTACTGCTGAGGCAGACCTGCCCAGCCAGCTGAGCAACTTTCCTCCAGTGTGAGCTAGCCCAGCCGTAGAGGCACCGGGAGAGGCAGAGCCAGAGCCCTAGTCCACTTGGGGACCTGCTGCCCTTCTGAGGGGTCTGTGGCTCCCGGGAGAGGGTGGGTCTCCAGGACAAGGGTCCATGGTGCATGACTCTGGAGCCACTCCCGAGGCTGTGTCGTCCCCGTGCCACGCAGGTCAGAGGGTCCCTGCAGACGGTGCTCAGGCTGGGGCTGAGAGAGCCCGCACAGGAGGTAAGCTCCTTCCAGGGCAGCAGTGGCGGCCGTCCTGAATGAAAGGCAGGCAGGGGCAAAGAGTGGGCTTGGGGTTCGGTCTCTTCCCAAGTGGGAGAGAGGGCAGAGCAGGGCTGCAGAGGACCTGGAGGCTCCCTGTGACTCACAGGAACGGACTCAGGTCCATCACTGGATTTAATGTTTTTGGTGGCACCTAGCATTTTTGGTGGCATTCCTCACTCGGCACATCTCTGCTATTCCCTCTTCTCAGTCCCTGCTGCACATCTAGCCTCAGGGTAGCCTCCAAGCCCACTCCAGCCACCCCAGGGCTGATGAAGCCAGACAGAAGCTTAGGGCTAGTGCTTGTTTGTACCCCTGACCCCCTCAGCAGCAGGAAGGGCACTGCCACTGCCCCCCGGCTGCTCACACTAGGACTAATGGGGGACAGAGGACAAAGAGAGGGTGCTGGCTGGTGAGGGCACACACAAGACTTTGGCAAACTCATGCATGTGACTGGACAGATCTGGGTTCTCTCTTTGAACCCCCACCCTGAGGATGCCATCTGCTTCCTCAGTGCTGACTTTTGGAATCTCTCCACACATCCTCCTCCATCCTGTGGGCCCCCGAAAGCCACCCTAGCTCTCCTTGGGACCCTGTGTGTGAGACAGGGTTCATATTCCAGCCCCAGTCACCAGCCCAGCCTACTCCCCACCTCTGCTGGTACCGCTGCCTGCTACCTTCTGCCTTCTCCCCATCTCTGAAGTGACCTCCCAGGGCCAGCTTTCTCTGAGTTCTTCCCTCCACCTGACAGGGTCTGGCTCAAGGTCACTGCAGTAATTCCATACCAGCTACCCAGGCTGCCGCTGCTGCTGCTGCCGCTGCCTTATCACAGCTGGGTTTGTATTTCACTCCCTTTTAGTCCTGGGCATATTGTGTTCGATAAAACCCTTTGCTTGTAACACCCTTGGCAGGACTCCCAGCCTCTCCAGCTCCCTCCTTCCCTCCTGCCTTCCTCCTTCCCTCCCCACTCTGTGCTCCTGAGCCTTACCCTGCCCCCTCTTTCTCCCTACCTTGTCCCCTCAAACTCCATGGGGAGTTGGGGGGAAATGGCTTCAGGCATCTCCCTGTGTTTCCAACCCCTTCCTTCCCCCTAGCTCCAACAGAGGTGAGCAAAGAATGTCCACCTTCTTCCTAGCAGAAAAATCCCAGGCAGGGTCACCAGGCCCACACTGAGGGTCTCCCCTCACTATGGTTGGTGTCCTCTCCCCTGGCCTGGCAGGAGGGCCAGGGCAGCCAGGCCCAGGTAGGGTTCTGGTGGAGTCAGGATGCCCAACTGGTTCTGCTAGTTCCAGTGCCCAGTAGGGAGGGGCGAGCGTGTGCTGGGGCGGGCTTGGGTGCACAATTATTCCCCATCTTGACTCCGCCACCACCAGCCTGCCCTCCCACTGGGGAGGTGAAGACAGGTCTGAGTCACTAGCAAGGGGGAGGGCAGGAGTTAAACAAGTTGTGACTGTGGCATCCTCACAGAATGCCTGCCACCGGCTGGAAGGAAAGACAGACAACAGACAGAAGGTAGGCAGTGCTTTGGGCTAGTCATACCCCTGACTCCCACGGGATTCCATCCTTAGGATCATGCTCTCCCAAGCATCTGGGCCCAGATGGGACCTTCCAAGGCCCTGTGGAGTGGCTTTGAGCCCAGTGTTTGTGGCACTGGGGTGAAAAGAGAGGTGTTGGGTGCCTGGGAGCAGGATAGCCTTCTGATTCCTGCCCCACCAGCCTGGGGTCAGCTAAAGCCTAGCCTAGTTGGGGCTGGAGGGAGATGCCTCAAGGTGGAATCTCCATGGATGTGGGAGTTTCGCAGGGGAGGCACAGGCACCCCAGTCCTACTGACATGTGCCCAAGCACACGCACACCCCTATAGACACCACCAGTGTCAGAGGCATGGCGGTGGCAGGGGATTTGGCTTTGGCTTTCTGGTGGGGCCGTGGGAGGACTCTTCTGTGTCTGGGGCCTGGTTCTGAGGTTGTGGGGAGGGCCAGCCCTGAGGCTGATCGGCTCTGATGTGCTGATCCTCCCTCTGCTGGACCATCAGAGGTCTTCCAGGTACTCAGAGCCCAGGAGTTTGCCCTGTGAACTATCTCTTCTCTCGAGCAGCTTCATTCTGACTGAGGTGGGATCAGGATAGTAATTAGATTAATAAATTGCCAAACTAGGTGACACAATAAGTATTAGTCTATGGAGACCTAAATGTCAGTCCCAGCCCTGTCACCTACACACCATGTGACGTGGGCAGGTCACACCCCCTCTGGCCTCAGTGCTTCTGTATACAAAGGGTGGTGGTGGCTGGGTCTCTCTGAAAGGCAGCCTTCCCCACGTGCCCCTTTCCTCGGCCTTCTGGCCTTGCTGGTTTCCTCCTCCTCATTCTTTCTTAGGGTCTCTGATCTTGGCTCTGCCACCGCCTCCTCCCTGATTTTCCTTGTTTGCATATTCTGTGCCCTTTGGTGTACCTATCCTGGACTGTGATTGTCTGAACCCTCTCAGCTGGACGTGGGTGAACCAAGTATGTGGCCTGTGATTGGCACAGTGCCCGGCTCAGAAAACGTCCCTGGGAAATAGATGTTGAATGAATCAAACTATAAAAATTAGAGCAGACAGAAGTCAAAAAGGTCCTGGCAGAAACAAGAGCCAAGCAGGAGTGAGGCGGGGGAGAGGCATTCCTGGCAGTCACATTAGGGTCCTTGATGCATTCAGGTGTGTGTGTAGGGTTTGGGAGGACCCCAGCCCCCACTTACTAGCTCTGTGATCTTGGACAAGTCATTGAATACATTTGCTCACATCTGTGAGTGGAAATGGTAATTATAAGCATCTTGGAGGGCTGGTTGTGTGGATGAGCATGCCAAGTTAGCAGTGCCTGTGCCTGAAGAATGAGTAAAAATAAATGAAATAAAATCAGTGTCCGTTGAAGGCTGCTCCTGACAGCAGGGACTCTGGCCAGGTTCTCTGGTTGGTGACTAGGGGTCAGTGAGGTGGGCCACTGCCCCTAAGTCCCAGACCCTCTCTTCCACAGCCCCATGTGGAACCCAAGGACGCAGCCGCCCTGCTGAGAGCACGGCGGCCCACCCTTCGAGACGGTGACCTCAAAACAACGGTGGCGCTCGGCCCTCCACCTCCGGCGGGGGCGGGGGCCACCCACCTCCAAGTCCCCAGCCATGACGACCTCTGCACTCCGACGCCAGGTGAAGAACATCGTGCACAACTACTCTGAGGCAGAGATCAAGGTGCGTGAGGCCACCAGCAACGACCCCTGGGGTCCACCCAGCTCGCTCATGTCAGAGATTGCAGACCTGACCTTCAACACAGTAGCCTTTGCAGAGGTCATGGGCATGCTATGGAGGCGGCTTAATGACAGTGGCAAGAATTGGCGGCATGTGTACAAGGCACTGACGCTACTGGATTACCTGCTGAAGACAGGCTCCGAGCGTGTAGCCCACCAGTGCCGGGAGAACCTCTACACCATCCAGACACTCAAGGACTTCCAGTACATTGATCGTGATGGCAAAGACCAGGGAGTCAATGTGCGTGAGAAGGTCAAGCAGGTGATGGCCCTGCTCAAGGATGAGGAGCGCCTGCGACAGGAGCGAACACACGCACTCAAGACCAAGGAGCGCATGGCGCTGGAGGGCATGGGCATTGGCAGTGGGCAGCTGGGCTTCAGCCGCCGCCACGGTGATGATCACAGCTGTTCTCGGGGTTCCCCATCCTCCTACACCTGTGAGTGAGCCCTGTGGGGATGGCTGGGACAGGGGGGCGGTCCTGGCTGTGCAACCCCAAGCCATGGTTAACGGTACACACCTCAGAGGGATGTTTTGAGGACTCAGTGAGATGAGAAATGTGCTCCACAAGTCAGTTGAAATAATACTGTTAACTATTATGATTGGTAATAGCTACTAATAGGATGGGGGTAGAGGCAAAGGCTTTGGAGTTGCAGGCCAAGCTGTGACCTGGGTAACCAGCTCTTTGAACCTCAGTTTCCCCATCTGTAAAATGGGGACCATCTTGCCTACTGTTTGATCTGAGAATTAGATGAGACTAGGCCCAGGGATGTCCTTGACCGTTTGCCTAGGTACATGGCATTTCCTTCACTGGAGGACACTCCCTTGAAAATAAGGGAGCTGCTAAGCAGTTCTTGACTCTGCTTTGTCCCCAAGGTGATGGCCTCCTTACCCGAGAACCCTCGCTTCCCTTCCATAAAGCCTGTGATGGCTCTAAGGCTGAGACCTTGTTGGATCACAAGCTCTGTCCTCCCAATCCCCATGGCCACAGGCAAGATGGGGTCCAGCTGGAAGAGTCCAACAGCTGGAGACAGGAGGCCTGGGTTATGTCCTAGCCAGGACACCCCCCGTGTTGTCTACCACCTGCCAAGGTGGCCCTGGTGCCTGTACCACTGGCATTGGCACTGGGTAGAATGGGAAATCTACATGAGGTGACAAGTACACTGCCTGACTTGCTGGTGCCCTCGATGGCCAATTGTTCCCTTTGCCTCAGTTCCCCTCTGTGAGCCTCCGCCTCGTGGCAGGCTGAGTGGGTGCAGAACCATGGGTACTAGCGTGGTCACAGAAGCCATGTGTTTGTTGCAGCTGCTTCCTCATCCCCCCGTTATACCTCGGACCTGGAGCAGGCGCGGCCTCAGACGTCAGGAGAAGAGGAGCTGCAACTACAGCTGGCGCTGGCCATGAGCCGCGAGGAGGCCGAGAAGGTGGGTCCTGCTGCTGTGTGGGGTGAGCTGCGGAGAGAGAAGGGAGGCATACCTGGTGTCCCCCAGCTTGGCTCAGCCTCCTGAAGCCTCACTCCTGTTCCCAAGAACAGCACAGGACCTGTGTCCCTGGGCTTGGCCCAGGCTGGCTCAGCCTCCCACATCCAGTGCTCTTGGCTGGGTGTAAAAAGGGCATTCAGTGTATGGTTGGGGTACGTGGTTTTCTTAGGGGCCCCTGCTACCTAAGAGGTGTGATAGACACATTCCTAGGAATGTTTCCTAGAAACACTGGGATTGCTGTGCCCCTGCCAGCTGTTCTTTTGGGAGAACAGGGACAGTACCCCTATAGCCTTTTCTTTGCCAGTACCCCTGGCGATCTGGGCAGACTGGGCAAGAAGCAACTGGGCCTCACATGGCATGGTTAGAGGAGCTTTCAAGGCACCCGGAAGGAAAAGATCCAGCTTCCTAATTCTTAAGCCCACCTCAGATCCAGGCAAAAGGAGATGACCAAATCCTCACTGCCCACCCCCACTCATCGCAGGATTTCTGTCTCCTGAGTAGGATGCCTCTTGTTAGGGCTGTCCTCCCCTCTAGCCCAGGAGTGAGGGCCCTGGTCCAAGTTCACCACTCTTTTCCTCCCTCGCAGCCAGTCCCCCCAGCCTCCCACAGGGATGAGGACCTGCAACTGCAGCTGGCTCTACGTCTGAGCCAGCAGGAGCATGAGAAGGTAGTGAGTGGGCCGAGCCACCTGGGATGCAGGTGCTGCTGCTGGTACCATGCTGGTGGAGGTGCTATGGGGCACACTAACCAGATTCTCTGCTGCTCTAACTTTGGTGCCTCCCACCCTGCTCTCTCCTGGAACCCAGCCTTGGTGCTCAAGCCCCCTCAAGTCCAGCAAGGACTGCTCATGCTCCCCCTCCTTCTGTGCCTTCTACAGGAGGTGAAGTCGTGGCAGGGAGATGACTCTCCAGTAGCCAATGGTGCAGGGGCCGCCTTCCACCATCAGCGAGACAAAGAGCCTGGTAAAGATGAGAGAAAGGAAGAGGAAAAGCTAAAAGCCAGTCAGGTAGGAGCAGGACCATGGTGTGTGGGCTGGACAGGCCTGGGAGGTAATTGAGTTGACATTTGTGAAGTGTATAGAACAGTGCTTGGCACTACTTGAGTGTTTATTAAAGCAACATGCAGGGGCTGCTGACAGCTGACAGCAAACCACAACATCAAAAAGTACTGATCGAGATCCCTGGTTTTGCTGCCACTTATTTTATGACTTGGGGTACAATGTTGTCTAGCCTCAGTTTTCCCTTTTGCACACTGGGCATTGTGGATAATTCCAGCTCTGACATGTTAGGATTGTAGGATACTGTGGGTCAAGACTAGTGGCTGGCTTGGGCACATGGTGCTGAAAACATGTTGAGCCCCCTGGGAGCGGGAGCAGATGGCCACTGAGAATAAGACCCCTTGAAAACTGTTCCTGCTGCCCTGGGTACCTTTGTCCCCTTCCTGCCCCTGTTCATTGTGGCCGCTGTCACTTGGACACTGACCTAGGGAGGTAGGCTTGTTGTAAAAACTCCATCATTGCTCTTACTGCCCCTTTCTGCCGGGCAGAAAGTCCAGCCCTGCTTCTACCTGGTTATGTGACTTCAGGCAAACTGTTTCCCCTCTTTGGGTTTCAACTGGTATATTACCTGTCCTTCCTACTTCATAAGGTTGTTATGAAAAGCAGGCACTGAATGAGGAAGTGTTTTATAAACAGGAAGCACTGTTCCGAGGTGAGGGATCATTAAGAGATGTTTGAGGAATGAATAAAGGAGGGAATGAGCTGGAGTCAGGCTGCAGGTCAGGGCCTGCCCTCCCTTTGGGCCCTGCCCACTCCTGAGCCATGATGCCTCTCCCCTCCACAGTCCTCCATCCTGGACTTGGCTGACATCTTCGTACCTGCCCCGGCCCCGCCCTCCACACACTGCTCTGCTGACCCATGGGACATCCCAGGTGGGCATGCAGGCGGGGGTGGGGTGGGGCTGGAAGAGACTCCCAGGCTGGTCCCTGAGAGCCCCTTCCTTCCAGCCATTCTCTGGCAAACCAAACCATGTCCCCAAAATAAGTTAGGGTCACTAGGCAATTCACTCACCTCTTTGAGCTTCACATACAGCTGCCTCTAGGACATGGCTGGAGGAGCACATTTGAAGAGCCCAGCTCATGCGAAACTCAGCAGATGGGCTCTTGTTGCCCTCACCAGCCCAACCCTAATTGTAAAGGTGACTGATGCTGCTGGTGCCTGGGGGGTCCAGGCTCCTTGCATAACTTGCTGAGTGGTCTCCAGTCGGCATCTCACTTGTGAAATGCATCCCACATCTCCCAACCTGGGCTCTGTTACTGGGAAGGGACATGGTGAGTCTGGGATCATGTGTTCCATTGCCATTTCAGGTCTCAGGCCAAGCACAGAGCCCAGTGGCTCCTCCTGGGGACCCTCTGCAGACCCCTGGTCTCCAGTTCCCTCAGGAAACACCCTTTCTCGAGGCCAGCCTTGGGACTTGCTTCCTACACTCTCCTCATCTGAGCCCTGGGGCAGGACCCCAGTGCTGCCTGCTGGACCCCCCACCACAGACCCCTGGACACCAAAATCTCCCCATGGCAAACTTTCCAGCACTGGGGCTGACCCTTGGGGAAGCTCTGTTGAGACGTCTGACACACCTGGTAAGTGGAAGACAGAAGATGTGAGTGAGAGCCTGAGGACATCTAAGTCCATCTCCCTCCAGTGCCAGGGGGTGGCTACTTTCCCTGGACAGGGGTCAAACCCGCACGGCCCTTTCTGTCAGCTCATGTCATCTTTCTCTTCGGTCAGCTCTAGGGGGTACCTCGACTTTTGACCCATTTGCCAAACCTCCAGAATCCTCAGAAACCAAGGGGCTGGAATGTGTCCAGGCCCTGCCCTCAGGGAGGCCCAGCAGTCCTTTAGGTGAGCAGGAAGCTCTGGGAAGGAGGGATCCCCAGAGTGGGCCTCTGCCCTCATCTCTCCTCTACAGTGGTGTGTTTCTTCCAGAGCTGGACCTGTTTGGAGAGCCCAGCCCCAGTTCCAAGCAAAATGGCACAAAGGAGCCAGATGCCTTTGACCTGGCTATAGTAGGAGAGGTGCTAACGCAGCCCAGCAAGGAGGCGCGCCCCTGCCGGACTCCAGAGTCCTTCCTGGGCCCCTCGGCCTCTTCGTTGGTCAACCTTGATTCACTGGTCAGGCCACCCCAAGCTGCAAAGACCCGGAACCCCTTCCTGACAGGTAGGTCCCCCTAGTACCTGAGCCCTGCGACCTGCTGTCTCGTATCAGCCCATGCCCTGCAGCACCTGCCTTTTCCTTCCTGTGGCTAAGGCCCCATCCTGCCGCCCTTACCCTGCTCCAAGTCCCCACACCCTCTTTCTTCTCGTCGATAGGTCTCAGCGCTCCGTCCCCCACCAACCCCTTTGGAGCGGGTGAACAGGGCAGGATGACCCTGAATCAGATGCGCACCGGATCGCCAGCGCTGGGCCTGGCGGCGGGCGGGCCAGTCGGTGTGCCCCTGGGCTCCATGACCTACAGCGCCTCCCTGCCCCTCCCGCTCAGCAGCGTGCCGGTCGGCGTGACCCTCCCCGCCTCGGTCAGCGTTTTCCCGCAGGCCGGCGCCTTCGCCCCGCCGCCCGCCATCACGCAGCAGCCGCTGCTGCACACGTCCAGCTCAGCTGCACCTCTGCACCCGCCCCCGCAGACCGGTACCAACCCCTTCCTCTGAGCCGCACCGCGCCTGCGCGCGAAGCCGCGCCCCCTCCGGGCCTGGGGCGGGGCGGTCGTGCAGGTGGAGCTCTGATCCAGGTCTCAGGCTCCTGAAGCTAGAGACTGAAGATGTCCGGGAACTGAGATCACACTCCCATAATAAAGACTGGAACCCACGTCCTCAGCTCTTTACCAAGTGGACTTTTTGTGGGGTGTTGCAGCTGGGTCTGAACCACAGTACTGATCACTGGCAGCCTTGGATCACTACTTCAGTCTGGGGTGCTGAAATACCCCCATTTCCCTCACAGCCCTCTCACCCTCCCCCAATCTCGGGGCCTTCTAGAGGTTCCTAGACTATCACTGATTATGTCATTTCATTCATTCATCATCACACATCACATTGGCCCTGGGGATAATCAAACAGCAAGGAACAACAGGCATTTGCTCGAACTTATTGTGCGTTCTTTAATGTGCTAAGTACTTTAAGCTATAGTTTCACTTAATCATTGCAACAAACCTTTGAGGCAGATAATACTGTTACTTCCACTCAGGATTGGCTATGAATTTTGTACCACCCCAAGCAAAATGAACAGGCAGGGCTCCTTGTCCATGATTGGGGTGACAGGGACAGCACAGCATCAAAGCCGCCCCAAGCCTGACGGCAAAGGTTTGCGGTCTGCATGGTTCCCATTTTATAGATAAGGACACCAGGCTCAGAGAGGTTCCGTGGCATGCTGAAAGTCACAATGCTAGGGCACCATGGGGCTAGGATTCAGATCAGACAGTCTGGTTTCATCGCCAGGCTGGGCCCAAGATTTAATTCAGCAAATATTGACTGAGCACTGCAGATAAAGTGCTGGCTCACCTGGGAGGGATCAAAGAACTGCTGAGCCCACAACCTGAAGTTGCTCAGAGCGCAGCAGGGCAGGCAAACCAGCAGCATAAGATGAAGCTGCAGCTGCAGGATGGCCAAGTGCAGAAGCCCCCGTGTTTCTTTGTTTTACTGAGTCACCTTCAACCCAGCTCCTCCTGCCCACTACACCAGGGCTGGCAAGAAACTCAACCTCAGTCAGTAGAGGGAGGCTGGCCCCTCCTGGGATTAGGAAACCAAGGGTGGATCAGGGCCTGATATTTCATGCTGGGGGTCCCCATGATCCCCCTCAATTCCACTCAATGCCCCCCATCACTGGGCCGCTGGACACTAATGTGTCATTGCTGCCCTGCAGGCAGCCTACTGCTGCTCCTCCCCCTTTGGGGACACAGAGGGCAAAGACTTTCTATAGGCCAGAAGCATCAAAATTGGCAGTGGCAGGAGTGAACACCATGTCACTCTCTATTCCGGGTGGGGAGGGGGAGAAGTCTCTCTGCTTGTGCAGAGGGAAGAAGGAGGCCCAGGCTTTGGCAGACCAGATGGGTCAAAGTGCATACTTAGGAGTCAGACTGAGGTTCCAAGATTTGAACTTAATGATAATCGCTTCCTAATAAGTGGTTGGGCTCTCTGACCTTGAGTAAATTACTTCACCTTGCTGTGTCTGTGCCTGTATTTCCTTGTCAAATGAGACCAAAAATTCCTTCCTTATGGGGTGGCTATGCGGATGTTCCTGGCCAGTGCCCATTGGCCCCATCTGTCTTCTGCTGTACCCAAATCTAATTGGGGGCCTGCTTCCCCTAATTAGGCTTATCTATTTGTTACTGGGCACTCCCGAGAAGAGCTGTTCTTTCTCTGGAAGAAGTTGGGCAGCCTTGGAGTTCCCAGAGCTGCCTTGGACCACCTTCCTTCTTGAGAGAACTGGAGGCTGGTACCCTGCCAGGCCCCAGGCTGCCACTCCTCATTCTTGGGATGCCTCCTTCTTGGCTCAGTCTTTTCCTCACCCAGCTTTTACCTCAGTTCCACCTGACTCCCATACCAGAGGATGACCTCTCAGCCCCTTGACCTCCAGCTGGCCCTGTCCATGGTCACCCATAGAGGTTGTCATCACCCCAAATGCTCCACACTCAAGGCTGGCCTCCTGTTATCTGATAAGAGTCTTGCTTCTGGAGCTGGGCCCCTCCCTCTGGCATCCCCCAGGCCTTAGGGCTTGCCAGCCCCCCATTCTCAAGACCCCTCGCTATTAATGAACTCTTCTCTCACTCAGCCACATCCTTCTCACCAATATGCACTCCATTAGCTTCATCCATCTTGAAAGTATCTTTCCCCTCGTGTCTGGTGCCCATCCTCTTTCTTCACTTCCTCTCTTCCCTCCTTGCCCAGCCCTCTCCAGGTGATGACTGCTCTCAGCTGGACATCACTGGACATTACTGGGACAGTGTCTGCCAAATCCATACAGAGTTCTGCCTCTCTCTTGCAACCTCAGCCTCTTTATGAGACACTGCACTCTCTGGGCTTATGATCTGCCCAGTCTGAGCCCTCCTCCTCCTCTGTACTTCTGCACTGTCTGACGGACCCCCACACCAGAGGCCTGCATTCCTTTCCCACAACAGCCTCACCTCTGTGCTCCAAGCCTGACCATCTCCACCCCCATACGCACATCTTAAAGGCTTTTGGGACCAACAGGTCCAAAAGTAACCTCATGACCTCCCCCCAGCACACACCCCTGTCCCCTCTTCCATCCTATGGATCATCCTGGACACCTCCTTCTCCTCATCACCAGTCTTGACAATGTTCCTCCTCCACTGGCCTCCAGGTCAGTCCTTTCTCAGCAGTCCCCCGCCCAGATCTCCCCAAACCTCTGTGGATGCCACTGTGGTCTTCTCACTGCCCGTTTACAGTCAACTGGGGAGCCGGCAGGGTTATTTCCTAAGTGCAGCTTCAACTGGGCCATTGTCCTAAGTAAAGCCCTTCAATAGTTTCCACTTGCTCTCACCAAAAATCCCTTTCTCAGTCAGGTGTGGTGGTACATGCCTATAATCCCAGTACTCAGGGGCTGCAGCCAGGAGTATTACTGGAAAACCCATCCCCTGGCCTCAATGCCAATTCACAATTTACAAATAACATGAGCAGGGTTTTGAGGAAAAAAGAAATAAACTTTATTATTCATCAGACGAAGAGGAGGACAGGGAGAGTCAACCTCTCAAAGCACTGTCATTCCACTTCTGAGAGGAAAATGTCTGCTTCTTAAAGGGGAGTTCAGGGGCTCAGCTTGACTGGGTGACCAGGTGCATGTTCACCATGGCTGCTGGCCTTGGTTCTCCAGGTGTCCAGCACCACTTCTCTGAAGCTGTATGTCTTGGCTGGCAGGTTTAATGCTCTGGTGGTCAGAAAGAGATAAGGGGTAGAGAGCTGCCTAGTCTAATTGAAGAGCAAAGGTAGTTAATCTTTGTTACTGGACTCTCCAGCAATTAGGTGAAGAGGAAAAGAAAGTTTCATCAACAAACAGTAAATGGGCCAGAAGGCAAGCTGGCTATACAAAAAGGTTTTTTTCTTTTTTTTCCTTTTGTGGTCCCTATTACATTTTCCCCACTCTCAATTTTTCCTTCCATTCCTGTGGAAAAGCAGCATTGCAATCATCTGTTTCCTGCCTTTAGTTAATTCCTGGGCCCAAGTAAGGAGCCAGTGCTCCTCAGAAAAAACAGCTTTTAAGTCTGTTACAGGAGCATGAATCTGAGGGCAGCCTGCACTACATAGCCAGCTCTAGGCGTAGTGAGATCCTATCTCAAACAACACTCCCCTTCTCAAAAACAGACAAAAATCCCCTTTTCTCATTCATGCCCCCAGACTTGGCCCCCTGATCTCCTCCTTCACCTCCTAGCCTCATCTATTACCTGTCTTCCCTTTGCATACTGTGCTATTCTGCTGCTATTCTTTAGCTCTGACTCACTGCCATGCCACAGGGCCTTTGTACCTATAGCTTCTTCTGTCCACCCCACCCCTGCACTCCTTCCAAGTTTGCTCTTCTCATTCATCATGATTACTACATAAATGCGATTTCCTCAGGGAAGACTTCTCCTTTGTCCTTTCCACCAGATCAGGTCTCTTGCTATATTATAGCCACTCATGACACTTGTCACTGTGGGTGGTCGACTATTAATGTGTATGGCCATTGGATTAGCTTCTGCCTTTCTTAACAGCTTGTGAGCAAAACAGTCTGTGAGAGGAGGAGAATTGTGTTTCTCTCACTGCTTTGCACAGTGGCAGGGGTGGTGCCCAATATTTATTTGCTGAATGTAAGGAAGGGAGCAAGAGTGTACAGCATACAGTAGGATGTAACATTCAGGGAAGGCTTCCTGGAGTGGGTGGGATTTGAGATGGGAAGGCTACACCAAGCAAAACTTGCTTGCTGGCTGGACATCTATCTCAGCTGGAGCCTCATTTCTTTTCTCTCTCTCTCTCTCTCCCCTCTTCCTTTTTTGTGGGACTGGGGTTTGAAGTAGTTTTCTCGCTTGCAAAGCAGGTGTTCTGCCGTTTGAGACACACCTTCAGTCTATTTTCCTCTGGTTGTTTTGGAGACAGCATCTCCATTTGCCCAGGGCTGGCCTGGAACCACGATCCTCCTGATCTCAGCCTCCCAAGTAGCGAGGATTACAGGCACACGCCACCAGCGCCCGGCCTCATTTCTCATCTGTAAAAGGGGTTGGACGAAGTGAACTGAGGCTCCAATATCCCACGGTCCCAGCCTCCCACAACCCTTCCTATCATCCTGCCACCGGGTTATCAAGTAGAGCCGAGCGATCGGCCTGCGTTTCCGCACTTGGCCGCCGGACGGCACTCGGAGACCAGGCAGGAGTCTCGCGTCTCAGCGAGGTCCCGCCCCTCCAAGCTTCCTGCCCCGTCTGCCCGCTGCACCCGCTGGGCCGGAGCAGCCATGCTGGGATCGCGGGCCTGGCTGGGTCGCGGCCTCCTGCTGCCCAGCGCCGGGCTGCGTATCGCCGCGAGCCGCAGGTATGAGCGGGCCACTGCGGTGCGTCCTGCGTCTGCGGGACCCGGAGGCGGGTCTCTTGGGCGCTGGTCCACAGAGCCCTGCATGCCTAATCTCCCCGCAGCACTCAGCCTGACTCCCGACCTGGCCCTGGCAGAGCAGAAAGGTTCCCTCTCCTCCTGTCCAGTCCCCCGCAGGGCTAGTTCCCTGGGACTGCTCTGATACCACTTCCAGGAAGCCTTCCTTGAACACCATGCTGGGCTAAGTGCTCTCTCAGGAGTGCCCTATGTCCCTTCCTGGGTCTGTGTTACTGGACAAACCTGTCATTAAGTCTGCCCCCAGGGTCACCCTCCCTGGTTGAATTCCTTCTCTTACTTAGTGTCCGAGGGTCTGGCACAGGACCTGACCCCAGAGCGCCCAGTATGTGAGTGTTAAGCAAGGAGTCCCATGTCCCATGTCTACTTCCTCTGGTTGTCCCTAACCTGGTCCAGTCCCACCCCCAACATCTCTTGACCTGTCCAGCCACCAGCAGTGGCTACCTCCCTAACCAGGCCCCTCCCCCCAGTCATGCCAGAGAGACTCCTGCAGTGCAGTCACCATGGGGAGGGGCCCCACTAGGGAACAGAACAGAGCTGGAAGGACCATTCTGCCCATTATGACCCGCCCTGACCTCACAGTCATTCTTCCCACCACCAGGTCAGAGAGGTTGGGGGAGACTAACCTGGAAAGGAGCCCCCAATGAGCCACCTCTCTTCACCACCCCCCAAACATAAGGGGGAGCACAAAGGCCACGGTCTCCCCCGTGGTTCAGAAAGGTGGGCTGTGCTGGGAGCAGGGGTTTCTCCGGAGCGGGGGTGCTCAAGTGGAGGGGGGCAGGCTGTGGAGTGGGCAGTGGGGATGGCCCTCATCTGTGTGACTCATCCACTCATGCCAGGGGTAGCTCCTCCCGGGACAAGGACCGAAGTGCTTCGGTCAGTAGTTCAGTGCCCATGCCTGCTGGAGGGAAGGGAAGCCGGCCTAGCTGCCCACCGTCTACACCCCAGAGGGTGCCCAACCGCCTGATCAATGAGAAGTCACCGTACCTCCTACAACATGCCTACAATCCTGTGGACTGGTGAGTACCTCTCCAGTGACCTCCCCCAAGAAGAAGCTCCTCTTAGACTCCCTGGGCTACTAAGTGATGCTCCACTCTGCTGGGTCTAGGTACCCCTGGGGACAGGAAGCCTTCGACAAGGCCAGGAAAGAAAACAAACCAATTTTCCTTTCAGGTAACACAGCCGCTTTCCCTGGAGGGGGGTGCAGGAGAGTCCTCTGGGCCCTGGTCTCCCAGACTAGAGGTCAGGACCTCTTCAGTCTAGCTGTGGCCCCTCAGCCGCCCCTCCCAGCCCTCATCTTCCTCCCCTCCATTCCAGTGGGGTACTCCACCTGTCACTGGTGTCACATGATGGAGGAAGAGTCCTTCCAGAATGAAGAGATAGGCCGTCTGCTTAGTGAGGACTTTGTCAGTGTGAAGGTGGACAGGGAAGAGCGGCCAGACGTGGACAAGGTGTACATGACTTTCGTGCAGGTGAGCCGCCTCCCCTTAGGAGTGCTTGCCACACCTGTTGGGGGACAGCTTCCTTGATCCTGGCCCTCTCTCCACCAGGCCACCAGCAGTGGTGGAGGCTGGCCCATGAATGTGTGGCTAACTCCCAACCTTCAGCCCTTCGTGGGGGGCACTTACTTCCCCCCTGAAGATGGCTTGACCAGAGTTGGCTTCCGCACGGTATTGCTGAGGATACGGGAGCAGGTGGGTGTGCATCCAGGAGGGAGGCACTGGGTCTGGGATGGGGGAACACAGAGCCCCGGCCCCATGCTGACGCCCAGATGTGTGCCCACTTCCTATAGTGGAAACAGAATAAGAACACCCTGCTGGAAAACAGCCAGCGTGTCACCACAGCCCTGCTGGCCCGGTCTGAGATCAGCACAGGTGATCGACAGCTGCCACCCTCTGCTGCCACCATGAACAGCCGCTGCTTCCAGCAGCTGGATGAGGGCTATGATGAGGAGTATGGTGGCTTTGCCGAGGCCCCTAAGTTTCCCACACCAGGTCAGTTCCCACCTGTCTTACCCCAGACTGGGTTTTCTGATTTTGATCCAGGTTCATGGTCTTCTGTTGTTGTTTGAGTAAGGGTCTCGTCTGGTCTTGAACTTGCTATATAGCCCAGTCCTTCTGCCTCAGACTCCATAGGGGTGAGATTACAGGTGTGCGCCACCATACCTAGCTAGCCCATGGTCTGGTCTTCTGACCCCTGGCTTAGTCGTTAGTCTTCTGCCCTCTGGACCTAGCCCATAAGAGGTATCTGGTGAAGACGTGACCTTTGCTCTCAGCAGTGACCTTCTGACCCTGACCTATATAATGACCTCCCGACCTGGCCAGTGGCCCATTAACCTTGGCTTAGCTCATGTAACTTGTCTAGTCAGTTATTTTCTGGTCTCCAGTGGGTCAATGATAGTCTGACCTCTGGCTTGGACAATGACCTTATGTCCTCTGGATTCACTGTTGACCCCCTGACTCCCAGACTGTCCAGAAACTGCTTGCCTGTCCAGTGAACTTGTCACCGCAGCCTGGCCAGAGGCCTCCTGACCACTAGACCTCCACTCCCTCCTGTCATCCTCATGTTCTTGGTGTCCCACAGTGATTCTGAACTTCCTGTTCTCCTACTGGCTCAGTCATCGGTTAACCCAGGATGGCCCTCGGGCCCAGCAGATGGCCTTGCACACCCTGAAAATGATGGCCAATGGGGGCATCCGGGACCATGTGGGACAGGTGAGGGCAGGCAGGGAATTCCCTGGAGGGGCAGTAGGAAGCTGTGGGCTGGGTACAGAAGCTGGGATCAGCCTTCAGCCCTGCATTCCTCCTGGCACAGGGCTTTCACCGCTACTCCACAGACCGCCAATGGCATGTCCCACACTTTGAGAAAATGCTCTATGACCAGGCCCAGCTGGCAGTGGTTTATTCACAGGCCTTCCAGGTGACCTTTGACCCCAGTTCTAACCCTGACTGCTCCTCCCAAGGCCTTTCTAGTAACTGTGACTCCCTCTTAATTTCAAACCTTAATTCCCTCCCATATATATACTACCCAGGCTTCCCTCTCCCACCTTCCTGGGAAAATGCCCCCCATTCCATGTACCTGGGCTGCCCCATGACCTCTACTTACAGCTTCCTTCCCCCCCAGATCTCTGGTGATGAATTCTACTCTGATGTGGCCAAAGGCATCCTGCAGTATGTGTCTCGGAGTCTGATCCACCGGGTGTGTGTGGCAGGAGGGCCTGGCTGTGGGCGGGCAGGGTTGGGGCCTCCACTGCCCTTCAGACTGGGGTCAGCTAACTCTCCCCTCCTCCTAGTCTGGAGGCTTTTATAGTGCAGAGGACGCAGACTCACCCCCAGAGCAGGGCATGCGGCCCAAAGAGGGTGCCTTCTATGTGTGGACAGTCAAAGAGGTCCAGCAGCTCCTCCCAGACCTTGTGCCAGGTGCCACAGAGACACTGACCTCAGGTCAGCTCCTCATGAAGCACTATGGACTCACAGAGGCTGGTAATATCAGCCCCACTCAGGTGAGGACTTCTGCAGACATGGGAGGAGACACTAGCCCACCAGGTGCCTGGCCTCCTTCAGACGGAAGCTGTTTTTCCTCAGGACCCCAACGGGGAGCTACAGGGTCAGAATGTGCTGATGGTCCGGTACTCACTGGAGCTGACTGCTGCTCGCTTTGGCTTGGATGTGGAAGCTGTGCGGACTTTGCTGAACACAGGCCTGGAGAAGCTCTTCCAGGCCCGGAAACATCGTCCAAAGCCACACCTGGACAGCAAGATGCTGGCTGCCTGGAACGGTGGGGAGGCGCTGTCTGAGGCCTTATCGCATTCGTGGAATTCCTTCTATCTCCTCATTCTTCCTTTCTGAGATTTCTTATCCTTAATTTATGAATGAACAAATTAAGGCTTAGGGAGTCTAAGTAACCCTGCCCATGGTCACGCACATAGGCCAGGAGTTTGGCCCTAACCTGGTACTCTGGAGCATGAGGTGTGGGGTGGGATCCCTGAAGGGCCACTTCTCATCGCTCCTGGCCTCTCCTCCCTCCAGGCCTGATGGTGTCTGGCTATGCTGTGACCGGGGCTGTCCTAGGCATGGACAGGCTGATTGGCTATGCCACCAACGGTGCCAAGTTCCTCAAACGGCACATGTTTGATGTGGCTAGTGGCCGTCTGAAGAGGACATGCTACGCCAGCAGTGGGGGGACTGTGGAGCACAGGTGGGGGTCTGAGCAGACCGTGTAGGCTGCTCCCCATGTGTCCCCAGCTCACCTTGGTCCCTCCGGGTGGACCAACCCTTACTCTGCTGTGAGCTCTTATGCTCTCTGTATCCATTTACTCATCTGAGAAATGGGCTAGCAGTAGCCTCTGTAGAGGTGGACTTTGAGGATTAAGTGAAAGAATGCATGAAAATTATGCCCTCTGCATTCCCCTCCTTTCCCACCCTGGACCTGTCTCCATTCTCTGCCTCTTTGTTCCCTCAGCAACCCACCCTGCTGGGGCTTCCTGGAGGATTATGCCTTTGTGGTGCGGGGCCTGCTAGACCTGTATGAGGCCTCACTGGAGAGCTCCTGGCTTGAGTGGGCTCTGCGTCTGCAAGACACGCAGGATAGGCTCTTCTGGGACTCCCGGGGTGGCGGCTACTTTTGCAGCGAGGCTGAGCTGGGGGCTGGCCTGCCCCTGCGTCTGAAAGATGGTCAGTGTGTGTGTGTGTGACAGGGGAGTGGCCTGGGGTTCTGGACCCAGCTGAGGTCCTGAGGGAGGCATAAGAGCTAGTGTGGGTCTCCTGGCCTCTCATCTCTGTTTCTTACTAATGGTCACTGGTCTCCACATAGTCATACCACTGAACAGGCTGACTTGGTCCCATCTTTCAGCGAACTTAGAGTGTGGGAGGAGAGACAACTATAAACAATAATAGTGCAAATTTGTGGTGTATACCATGGAAAAGCAGACCACGGGCTTGCCCAGTTTCCTCCCAAGCGTTGTCTGTTGTTAGTCGTCTCCTCAGAGAGCAGGACTCACGAGTCAGCTCCTCAAACAGCAGCACTTTCTGTCACTGTTGTATTCCTGGGGTCTAGCATCTGGCACATAGTTGATGATCAAGTGTGTGGTCATGGAGGAGTTTAGGAGAGAGTTCAGGCAGAGGGGACAGTCTGTGAGAGGAGAGGGCAGCTACATGTGGGAGGACACGGGCAGGGTAGCATGAGAGGAGGGTGCTAACGCCAGCCCTGTAAGGAATGGGGAATTTAGGTGGATTGTGACTTGCTCTGGCTTAGGTGTAAGGAGGTCACTCTGACAAGTGGTGGAAACAGAATAAGGGCAAGGGGAAACAGAGTGACCCACAGTTAGTAGGTTCAGGTGCCATCAGCAAAGGCTCAGCCAGAGGTAGAGTGGGAGATAGAAATGGGGGGGATTGGGTCCTATTCTGGCCACAGCCCCAGCAGGACTCAGAGATTAAAAGCGGGGATGACGCCCAGGATGATGCTACTCTGGCTTTGGCAGCTGGGTGGGTTGACAGAGGCATCAACAGTGAGATGGGGAGTCTAGGGACCCACAACTCAGCAAAGGAATTGAGGGTGCCCATGAACTCTCAGATCAGGGAGGAGCAGTCTTTATCCCATCCCTCAGGGACCCTGAACTCAGGCCTGAGACAGCACCCTGAAACCCAATGACACTTCCTTTCCCTCTGCTTCCCTGTGTCCTGCAGACCAGGATGGTGCAGAACCCAGTGCCAACTCTGTGTCGGCCCACAATCTGCTTCGGCTGCATGGCTTCACGGGCCACAAGGACTGGATGGATAAGTGTGTGTGCCTGTTGACAGCCTTTTCTGAGCGCATGCGCCGTGTCCCAGTGGCATTGCCTGAGATGGTCCGTGCTCTCTCGGCCCACCAGCAGACCCTCAAGCAGGTGGGGTAGAGGGCACTTGGCTTGGGACTCAGGTGTGGGGGGAGCTGGGACTGCAATGGGGGATGGGAACATGGGGTAATTATCCAGGGCTATCCCCAGAGCTCGGGCCTGTGTGTGCACAAGGACTTCTGTGCATGGATGTGTCTGTGGGAGATAGGCCTCAGTCCAGGCACGTGCCTGTGAGTGCCTGTCACTGGGCTGTCAGAGTATGGGGGCAGGAGGCAGGGGCTAAATATGGGTGCCTGGTAGCTGGTGAAGTGTTTGTAAGGTTCTGCAGATCAGCCTGATTATTTCTGTCCCTCTGGGTGTTGTTGCTGTTTGTGTGCAACTCTGGAGTTGTGTCTCTGCATGTGCCTTCCTTTCTGGCTATGTGCTGGTATGAATGTTTGCATGTGTACCTCCCTGTCTTCAGGTTTGCCTGCTTATATTTGTGTTTGCCTCTGTCTGCTGTGTGTGTGTGGGGTGTGTGTGTGTGTGTGTGTGTGTGTGTGTGTGTGTGTGTGTGTGTGTATGTGTGTGTGTATGTGTGTGTGATCTGCCTTTCTATTGGCACCTGCTGTGTGTACATGACTGCTCTGGGTCTCCCTGTCGTGGGCTTCTACGTGTTGTGTATCCTCTGGTGCATCAAGTCTTCCAGGTGTTTGTCTTCCCATGATTTTATCTTAAGTCTGCATTCCTTCTTGTGGATGTAAGGTGCAGTGGAAGAAGGGGAGGAAGCCCTGGTAAGTCTGGGGCCTCGCCCCTCCCCCATATGACCCTGGAGTAACCTTCCTATTCTGTCCAGATCGTGATCTGTGGAGACCCCCAGGCGAAGGACACCAAGGCTCTGGTGCAGTGTGTCCACTCCATCTACATCCCTAACAAGGTGTGTGACCCCTGTGAACCTGGCCCTGTCCCCCACCTCTCCTGCATTGCCTTCTTCCCTCATCTCTCCAATGTCTTCCTCTCCAGAGGCCTTGGGAGAATCACCTCCCAGTGGGCTCTGCCATGTCCAGCGCCCTCCCCTAGGTGATCCTCTCTGTTCTACTGCCCAGGTGCTGATTCTGGCTGATGGGGACCCCTCAAGCTTCCTGTCCCGCCAGCTGCCCTTTCTGAGCACCCTGCGGCAATTAGAAGACCGAGCCACTGCCTATGTGTGTGAGAATCAAGCTTGCTCCATGCCCATCACTGACCCCAGTGAACTACGAAAACTGCTACACCAATGACTGCCCGGAGTCCCTTGAGCTGGGGCAGAAGGTGGAACTTCCCAGCTGACCAGAGACTCAGGCCATGCAGGGCTGTGCAGAACTTGTGGCCATCCCTGGGCACCCTATCACCAGGTGACCTTGGCCATCCTCAATGCTTCCCCATGGGCACCCATGCACCCTGGAATAAACCTAACAGCGTCCCGCGGTGACCTCAGGGCCTCAGCCTCACTTGTGAAGGAGGGGCCTCTGCTCCAGTTTAGGAACCAGACTCTGAGAGTTCCCAGATGACCCCTCTGACTTCTACGTCACCCCTTCACTTTTCAGAGGTCACTAGGCTGACCCTGCCCCCCCATACATGGTTATTGAGCCTGAATGAAACTGAGGTCAGAAGACTAAAACTAAGTAGAGGAGCAGGGTGGGGATATATGGGGTATGTTCAGATTAACCCTGGAGGAGGAAAGCCCAGTTCTTGTCCTCAAGAGGGGCAAGAAGGGGGCCCCCTCCTCTCCACATTGTCTATTTGTTTGGAGCTAGAGGACAGGGCATGTTTTATATGGGCTTTTATATTTCACAGAACATAACGTGAATGTCAACATTTTCATGTACCCTAGTGCACTGTGGGAGCTGCTGTTAGCGGGATTAAGACATTTTTTGGGGGGTTATCCATGTAGCCCTTGGTCTCACCAGAAGGGATGCAAGACCTCCCACAGGAGGTCATATTGCCACATCTTCATGCAAGCTGGTCTGGGAAAGAATTCTTTCATTTGGGGCATCTGTTGTATTGGGAGTCCTTCCCCAAATCCTTCTGAGTCCTTCCTGACACAGAAGAAGCTGGTGGCCTCTTGTGGTCTCCACCTGACCCCTTGATGTTGGGAGTGCTGTCTTGGGCACATGAATCTTCACAGACTCCAGAAACCCCATGTAGCTTCTACCAGGGGAGGAGACTAGGAAGTCTGCATTGGGATGGGCATCTGAAGAGGGAGGGGACTGACAGGCGGGGAGGGATTGCTCCTCTGGGACCTTCAAGGGTCTACTAAGCCTGGGCATCCTCCTACCCCCTAAGTCCAGCAACATAGACAGTCAAAATAAGTTGCTAGAGACAAGGAGGCCTGAGTAGGGCTGCTGCTGGGGAAATGTCAGCAGTGGGGAGGAATGGAGCAGGAAGGAGCCAGTAGAGTGGATGTGGTCACTCCCTATACATGGTCACACACAGCTACACATAGTCACTGGGACCAGAATTTGCTCTGTCTAGATAGCAGACCCTCAGTGCAAGCCATTGGCCCATCTGGAGGGGATTAGCATTCCGGCCAATGAGGTCAGCTGGCCCCTTTCTTGCTGGAGCCCACTCAGCCTTGCCAGGAAGTCAGAAGCTGGACACTTGGAGCCTGGCCTGGGGGCAGCAGGGAAGGAGGGTGCAACATGGTAAGGCATAGGTGGCTTTTTTGGTAGCCCCATCCTTGGCTTTGGAACAGCCTGGGCAGTTTGCACAGCCCTCCTGCCCCTGTCATTCCATTGACCCTCATGAAGTGGTGAGGCAAGTATCTTCAGCTTCATACAGATAGATATTGGAGGTCCAAAGAGGATAAGGGTCTGGCCTGAGAACCCTAAGTACATTGGGTTTTTTCTGGCATCTTTAGGGTATGATAAAGACCACTGAGGCTTCCTTATCCCTCAGGAAGCTGAAGCACAGCTGCAAAGGAGGGTGCATTTGGAGTTTTCTCCATATCATGTTTCTGCATCTCTTTCCCTTTGCCTGGTATCAGGCATGCTAAGGCAATAGGATCCTGTAAATGGGTTCCAAGGAAGGAGTTAGGGCCTGAAAGGGTTAGTTCACCCAGAAGGACTTAACTTTCAAAAGACAACAAGGCTAAGCATGACTCTTGCTAGATGTGGGATTTAAAAGCCCTTCCTTCCCTTTGGCAGGCCCGCCTGGTATGCTCCCTTCTGGCAGCAGGACCATCCTAGGGCAACTGTGGACCAGGGTCATGGGGCAACACAGGGCCTTAGGATCACTTCATGTCTCTGAGCTTCAGCTTCCTTATCTGAGAAATGGGGGACCACTCACACAGCTATCAGGGCTGTTGAGGTGAACAGTGGGAGAATCTTTCAGTTCCTGAGGGAGCCAGAGGGCTGCAGAGACAATCATTTCATTGCTACAAACATAAACACAGCATCCCAGCCTGGGCTAAGTACTATGAGGCTGCAGACTTTTGTCTGGCTTAGTACTGTGTCCTCAGCACCTTGGCACTTAATAGTCATTGAAAGACTTGCTGGAAAGAAAACCAGTCTGAAGAAGTGATGTTAGAGACTTGGAGAGCTGGAGTTGTTAAAGATGGTTTCAGGTCTTCCTATGCTGTCCTCCTTCCCTCCCCCACTCAGGTAATGGTGGGCATCTCTGACCAGATATCAGAACCTCCTGGTGTCCAGTTGCAGATAGCTCCATGTTGTGGGTAGCAGGTTTCCCCTAGGCCATAAACCCAGGGAAGTAGAGCTCAGTTTACCCAGGTGGTGCATACATGCCTGCCCCTTTTCTGGGCATCTTCTATACCAGAGAAGCCCAGAGGTCAGGGATGGCCTGGATGATGCATGAAGATGTGGGGCCTCTGAGCACCAGAGAACCTGACCATTCCACCAGGCAAGGTTCTCTGGACTCATTTTCCACTACTGCAAAGACTGGATGATGAGCGTTCCTGCCTCCTGGTACCTGCCCTGGCCCTGGGGTTTCTTGATCCTGGTCGGAAGGTCAGGCCAAACCACCAGACTTCGGACACTCGGGAAGGAAGGTGTCAGACCTGTGGAATGAACCATAAATAGCCCCACTGTTCCAGAAGACGCCCCGAGTTCAAGACTAGTGCAGCACACGCACACTCGGAATGAGAGCAGAGACTCCCGCCTGGAGAAATAGGCTCTTAGGGGATCTGCTCATTAGCATGAAATGCAAATAAGTACGGCCTCATTTGCACAACTCGGTGCCGGGATTCGCCGAAAGGGCAACTAGCAAGGCTGCCGCGCAGCAGCCGCTCTGCCCTCTCCACTCCACCCCCGCAGCCGGCCAGGGCGCGAACTGAGACCACCCCCTACCTACGCCGGGGCTGGAGGCCTGCGGGGGTTGCGTGGTGGCACGGCTTTGCAAGATCAAACGCAGGTTTGGGGGGTGCGTGCCGGAGGTCCTGCCGTCCACCCCTCGGCCTCTGCGCAGTGGCGTAAGAGCACCAGAACCTCAGGAGAGAAGTGACTGACACGGTCGGTTTCGCAGTGTATGCCTCCGGCAGATGTGGGAGAAGTGGTACCCGTGTTTAACCCCGGATGCCCTCCCCCTAACCTACGCGTCCAGTACTCTCGCGGCGCTGTGTTCTCTTGGGGGTGATGCTGGCGGCGGGAGGGAGCTAGAACTGAGGTCCAAAACTCATAGAATGAAGCGGGGCGAGGGCCGGGGTCTGCGCGTGCATGTACGCGCGTGGGAAACACAGACCAGCGAGCACCCACTCCGAGTAAGTGGAGGTGAGTGAGGGGAGCAGCCCCACGGAGCTCCTGTCTCTCAGACAGCCTTTCATTGGGCCCTACTGGCACTCCAGAGGGAGAAACTGAGGCACAGAGTGATGGGTTGGTGGGGACTTTGGAGGATGAATTGGTAAAGCCCGACTCTGTGCTGCCACCTATCCCAAACACTCGAGGGCAGATCCTTTCGCAGGGGGTTCTCATTTTTGCTTAACTGCTCCAGAGGAGCCAGGCTCTGCGGTCAGGTGCGACCTGCCTGGGGCTGGGCATTGAAGCACGAAGGTCCCGAGTGGAGTCCATGTCCTTCAAAGGATCCTTAGGGGCAGAGGATGAAGTTCAGGAACTTAACGTGAGGTAGGCGCATCCGCGTTAGGGTTAGGAGGTCAGGGTCAAAGTCTCAGAAGTGGGCCTGGGAACAGGACCAGCAGGCAGCTCAAGAGGATGGTGGAGGCCACGCCCAGACCACGCCTATCTCTGCCTTTCCCAGGTCTGCTTGTTTTCCCCCAAGACCGGCCCCCTCCAGCCCGAAGCCCCACCCCCAGGACCTCCCGCTCTGTTCCTCCCCTTCCCCTGTACAGCTCCCAGTTTCAGGTACAGGGCGGGCGATTAATCAAGTGGAGAGACGGATTTCACTTTGAGACCCTAGTGACGCCCCTCACTCCCGTGTCTCCTGATTCCCTCCTCTAGGCCCTCCCAAAGCTGAGCTCCGCCCTCTGGCTGAGGTCCAATTCAGGAGTCCTGGACAAAGGATGCACGGGGCCTGCGGCGCTACCCCAGGACCCGGCGCCAAATACTCTAATTCCCTGAGGCTCCCTCTGAGGGAGTCCCGAATACCCAAGCGGCCAATAGGAAAGTGGGTTCGGTCTCGGTAACCGTGCGATTGGCTCTAGTCTTCGGGAGCGGACCCAGGGGCAAGAGGAGGGGACAAAGGCGGTCCTAGGATTTGGGGTGGGAACCGGATTCCAGCTGTGGTTCTCTCCCCCGGCGCCCCCGCCCGCACTGCCACGGCTGCGGACCAATGGACGCGCAGCTCGGGGCCGGCGGCGCGCAGTGATTGGCTGCGAGGTTGGCTGGGGAGAGGCGGGGCCGAGGCTTGAAGTTGGAGTGAGGGATCCAGCTGTGGTGTGCGCCGGGCTCCTCGCCGCCGCTTTCGCTTGCTCGCTCCGCGTCTCGGCCGGAGGAGGAGGCAGCGGCGCCGGCGACAGCTACGGCAAAGGCAGTCACCGCGGCGGCGGCGGCGGTGGCATCTCCGCCTCCACCCCCGCCCGGGACGGCCCCCCACGGTCTCCCCGCCCCTCTCAGACGGGGAGCCCGCCGCCGGGCGGAGGAAGGAGCCGCCCCCCACCCCCTCCAAACCTACCCCCAAAGAGATCCCTCCTCCCCTCCCCCCGCCGCCGCTGGCGCGGAGCCGGGACGATGCTGACCCCTTAGATCCTGTTCCAGCTGCGCCGCGGGAAGAGGGGGCGCCCCTTCCCGGACCCCCCGCCCTCCACCGGGTGCCCCCTTTTTTCTCCCCCTCTGGGGGCCGTTTCGCTGAAGGTAGCGCCGATTTGGGCATCCGGAGCCTGGGCGCGAAGCGAAGAAGACGGAACAAAGTGAGGGGGAGCCGGCCGGCTAGCCCGGGGACCCCGGGGGCCCAGGGGAAGCGGGACTCTCGCCAAGCGGGGCTTTCCTGCGACCCGGCGTCCCGCAGACAGCATGCCCCTGCGGG